TTTCATCAATCCAGGTTCTTCTACCCCAAACTTGGAAATGATCTTCCTCAAACTGTTGGAAAGTTGGAAGCACACTATTGTCCAAAATCAGTGGTTCCCAAGCTTTTTGGCTTGTGACCCCCTTAAAATGCACATAGAAACCTGTCAATGAGCTGTAAGCAGTAGAGTCAAGGAGAGAGCTTCCTTTTCCAGATTGCTTAATTTTGATATTTATGATAATTATGTTTTTTAGGGAAAGTCAGAATCCAAATCATTGTGGACACTTTTGGGGGTTCCCACTTCCCAGACTGAGAAACACTGGTCTAAATTATGTATGCAGTAGTATAGGTTCTCCTTATTGGAACTAAGGGGCCTATAGCCCAAATCATGTATAAAGGCCTTAGACCAGTTACATAAATACATATGGGCAGAAGTATCCACAAACTTTTTAAATTTAAGCTTAGGGCCCACTTTTACCCAAAGAGATTTCTGCAAATAACTTCATAGAAGCTAATTGTTAAAAAAAAACAGCAACAGCATAAAAACACATTTAGCCCTTTTATAATAATTTACATTATTACTTATTTCTACATGTCATGGAAAAATGTATTATTTAAAGAGAATAAACAGAGCAGTACTATGACACAAATCAGCTGGACCAGAGGTTCTGTCTCCTAGGACAGTCACTAACATCTGGCCCAGAGCAAAGGGATGCATAATCATTTACACAGTCTAGGTTTCTATGTTTTGGGGAACAAAGATCCTCTCCCAGGCTTGACTGGAGAGGAGCAGCTAGTAAGGAAAACAATACAAAAAAACTATTTTCTACCATCACACTATATATGCGACAGGAAAATTTGTGTGTCACATATCATTACATGTGTGCTGTATTCAATTTGACAGTGTTATGAGCACACACTTACTTATATACACATTTTGGAGACACCTCCCTTCTCTACAGACATGCACAGTGTTCTGTTGAGCTGACTGTCAAATCATTAATGCCAAGTGTCTCATATTTCCCTATCTGTGAAAGAGAGAGGGAACAGATAAAACACTTTCTATTGTTGTGTTGGAGAGCTAACTAATTTAGCTGTTTTACTTTCTGTTGTCGAGTTTTCTCCCAGAAACACATTTGATAGTGAAACAGTGCAGATGTCTTCCCAAACTAGATTGATGTCTAAATTACAACACTTTCATTCTTTTTATAGATTATGATAAAGATGATGTAGATGTTTCAGTTTAGTATTAGTATTAGTATTAGTATTGACAACAGAGACAACAAAACAACAAAATGAGGCCCTAATGACAACAACTGCAGATAGTCATCACTCCATGTTATTATTCCTGTATGTCTGTATCTGTTTATTGTTTTCCTCTCTCTCTGATATTCTCTAGTATGTGGAAATGACTTATCAACCTGATGATGACGGTTATTGAAGTCATTACTTTCTTTCTTGCAGGTTATTCAGTGCGATCTTGGAGCAGGCCACCAAGGGGGACGGCGGCACTCCTATTGGAGGGAAGGCAGCAGGCTTTGATGTCAAGGCTCTGAGAGCATTCAGAGTACTCAGACCCCTCAGACTGGTCTCTGGAGTACCCAGTAAGTACTGAGAGCTGTGGAAGGAAGGATGGAAGGAAGGAAGGAAGGAAGGAAGGAAGGAAGGAAGGAGGCAGGCAGGCAGGCAGGCAGGCAGGCAGGCATATCTGAGGATCAGGTGTGAAGTGTGATTGGGTGAGGTGGGGGAGAAATCAACCATAAATTGGAGCCGATATTGCTGCTTGATGCACACACATACACATGCTCACACAGTCCTCTTGTCCTGATGTCAGATACTCAGAAAGTTGTCAGCCTGTCTGTGTTAGTGACTAAAGAAATCAATAATCCAACAGGCCAGAAGACAGGAAAGGATGGGGTATCATAGATGAAGGCTGTGCGAAGTTGTGCCACTTGTGTGTGTGACAGCTCATATTATTAAAATAGCAGGCAAATGCATAGGATGCTAGTGCACATATCACACTCTTGTCACTTGATTTTAAAATGTAAGTGCTGCAGTGCTCATTATTTAGAGTGAACCCTGCCCACATCATTGGACTGAGTTTTGAAGTGGTATCATGGCATGACGCTTCCAGTGCCAATTGTGCTTATGTGCTGTAGAATTTACAAACATAATCATCTGTAAGTTAAGTTTGTAATAAACCTGTTTGTTTTGTTAAAAAGGTATATTTTTTGTAGATGTCATATACCAGTTTTTCACAACTGGGAGGAAGTACTGTAATTTACTGAACACATACCAGAACCAACCCAAGTATTCCTCAGTAATGGATGCCACCTACTGTGGTTTTGCAGTTGCATTTACGTCACTCAAATACAAATCGACAATTCAATTATCATCACTTGAGCTGGAGGATATACTTAGTATTTCTATATTTACCAGAATAATTTAGGCCTACACATTCATTTAAAGGTGTAATAGTAATATGCAAAATGCACATTTCATAGGTATTTTAGTTTGTAGTTTCAAAATCAAGCACAACTGTTTTCATCAATGTAAAATACTATTTGGACTAATTAATCAGTCAAGTAAACCCACATTTTTATCCAACAAAGATAAACAAAACATTTACATTTCTCATCTTTCATACTGATAAGCCTCCTCAACAGAATGCATCCCTATCACAGTTTTTGTGAGGTATTTTGTGAGCCTTTGTCCATCAGAACATTCAGTAAATTAACAGGAAAGTTGTGTTGCCTATGAGCAAGTTTTGTTTTGAAACTACTATGTTTTGTATTTTTTCTAAGAAACTCATTGAAGGAACTCTCTCTAAGTAGATGATGACACGCAGAAAGAATATTAAATCTTTAGAATAAATAAAAACTACTCTGCTATATGATGCACTACCAGTGATTTTTTATGACAGCTTTCATTGTTAACATTATAAATATACATTATAAAGTGTTTCAATACTCTTTTTTTTTTAAATTTGTGTCCATCCTTTATGTGTTCTCAGCTTTCCTCTGTGTGTGTGCTGCAGGTTTACAGGTAGTGTTGAACTCCATAATCAAAGCCATGGTTCCTCTTCTCCATATCGCCCTGCTGGTCCTCTTTGTCATCATCATCTATGCCATCATCGGCCTGGAGCTCTTCATGGGCAAGATGCACAAGACCTGCGTTTACGAGCATATAGGTACACGCATATGCACATACAGAGAGAGAAGAATATCTACAGTATTAAGCACTGATCCATAGATACAACTACAGACATGCACGGTCAAACACGTACACTCCCATGCTCAGATACATTATGAAGCATGTATTCAACTGTGTGTGAAAGCAGGCTTCAGTAAGCATATATTACCACAAAGACACACACACACACGCACATACTTGAATTCCCGACATAGATACACAGGTATAGTACACCACACAAACCTTTTCAACTGAAATATTGAAGAAAGCCATGCTCCACATCACCTCCCTTGAAGTTTATATGGTAATGAGTCTGAGTGGTGTGTGCATAAATCTTTGACTGCAGTAAGACATCACCCATCAGCCAACAAAGCAGGCAGAAAATACAGCACATACCTTAAACTGTTTAAATGATAGCCTCCATTAATTATTTAAACCAGCATTTATGTTTCTGAGTATAAATGATTTGGGCAATAATTGAAATAGCAACCCCCATAAATGATTGAAACCATTTTCAGTAAAGGCCCCTAGGTATAAATGGACTTGAGTGTTGTTATGGTGATATTATAGGTCTCATGAGAGGCATTAGCTTTGCACTGGGTAAGTGCAGGTGGAATACTCTGTGTTATCCTATACACCACCCTCAAGAGCTTGTTTTGTATAATTACTACAACACTTTTTCATATTGATTTTTTTATCGCTGCTCTGTTTGGGTATAGTTCAATTTGTCTGTTTTAACCTTCTTTTAGATGTGGATTTCTTTCTTTTATTTTACATTATTTTTAAATGTAGATCAATTTAGAATTGCAAAGAGGGAGTTAGTTTATACTTCTAATTGCAGTAAGAGTCACAATATTGTTCTGCATTTTGTTCCCAGTTGCAATGACCAAGCATTCTGGATTAGTTATAGCTCTGATTCTCATCTCAGCTCATCTGACTGACCTCTTCAACATAGCAATAGCAGCTTATATGGTTTCTTAGAGGCAAAGTTGAAATGATAGAAGTGATGGCCGTAACATAAACCTAAAGTATCGTTAAATTATCTAGGTTTAGCTAGGTTTTCTATGTTGGGAAGAATTTATCATTAAAAGAAAAACTTGAAACAGAACCTCCTATAAAACTCAGCTTGAATCAGCAGGTGCTGCCACCAAGAGTCAGTTATGTTTGAGTCAAAAGTACAAAAATCTCTCTCTTCCTCCTACCTGTTTTGTCACAGGCACCATTGCGGAGGAAAAGCCGGCACCTTGTGCACCAGACGGAGCTTACGGTCGACACTGTAAACATAACGGAACAGAGTGCAAAATGGGGTGGGAGGGCCCAAACGACGGCATCACCAACTTTGACAACTTTGCCTTTGCCATGTTGACTGTGTTCCAGTGTATAACCATGGAGGGCTGGACGGATGTGCTGTACTGGGTGAGCCGGACACCACAACAGTGTCTTTATGTGTGTATGTGTGGAGTGAGTTCCATGCGGCTTGGTGTGTGTAGCCACTGTACTGTATCTGTAACATCAGTGCCACTTGAGTGCTTTTTGAGAAAAGAATATAAAGCAATAACACAAACACTTCTCTCAGAAAGTAAGGTGTGCACAGAGAGAGAGAGACACACACACACACACACACACACAGATTATATTCGTGTGTGTGTGTGTGTGTGTGTGTGTGTGTGTGTGTGCGTGTGTGTGTGTGTGTGCGTGCGTGTGTTAGCTCATATCTCAGGCTAAATCGATGCAGACAATACACTGTGTAATTGATGGTGCCAATTCATTCGGAACGTGTGCAGAATCCCAATGCGTGATTGTCAAGTGAACACACATACACACGCACGCACACACACACACACACACACACACACACACACACACACACACACACACACACACAGAGGCATATGAACACACAAAACCCATCCTTTCCTCAGTAAATGGCCAAAAGCATGCAGCAGCCTGTCCAGCTAAATAAACCAATAGATTAGTCTGTGCTGTTAATCAATGATAGGGAAGGTTCAATCAACCTCCCACATGTGCCTTCTTGAGAAAAGCATTTGATTTAGCCCTCTGCAACAGAGGTATTGCTTTACACACAGATTATAATATTGCTGATGTCCCGATAATAGGTGGTAAGGGCTCACGTGGCAGCTACTGAAAGGTCCTCTATTACATGCACACTGCAGGCATACTCTCACCACTGCAAAGCACTAGTGTGGTGATATTCAGCCGTCAGGTCACAGAACTATGCACCTGTTTACATTTAAATCCCCGGTGATCTTTCAAAAACCCACAAGGCCGTTATGATAGTATTCATTTTCCAGGATCCTCAAAGAGTTTTATGTTCATCTCGATGAAATAATATTCTAGGTTTTTGAACGATCTTGGAAGTGATAGAACTTTCATAAAAACAGATTTCGAAATCTTCGTCACTAGAATGTAATGATATTACATGAGAGGCACAAACTGGGTCTAGCTATCAGAATACTAAAGTAATGAATGAATCATTAGGATTAGTACGTCTTAATGAATAAAAAACTAATGGGATTAACAATTAAACTGGTATGTAAATTTATTGAAAGGATGATGTTTTACCCCACATAATCTCAATTTGTTGACACAATGTAACTGTCTGAATTGGTCAGTTTTATGTGTGTGAATGTGGGATCTTACTGTATACACAAGCAGGTGTCCGTCTGTGTGTGCGATCACAAGTTGTTGTGTGTGTCTGAGTTCATGTATTGTATGGAGCAGAGAGTTTACTAGCTCTACACCCCTTCTGCAACTACCCTGTCTGCTGCAACCACACACACGCACACACACCATCACATTAGTTAAATCGCACAATTCGCTTATTATGAGAGTGCTTGTGTAGCCAGCTCTCTTTATAATGAATGGGGCTTATTTATTAGGAGTTATAATGAAAAATGATTATGGAAAAACATTGAGACAACACCAAGCCTTCCATTTAGTTTGGGCCATGCATTTCCATAGTTGTTACTGTCTCACATTTTCGGGAATATAGATTAATGACATCCACCGTTTGCTGCTGTTGTAGCAAATGAACCCTTTGTCTCTCTCCTCTCCTCTGTTATCTTCCCTTTTGTGTCTTTCTGTCCAGCAGTCTCCGTGACAGCTATTTAACTCACAAACTGGAAAGATTTAACCTTGCTCGCCTTTTTTTTCCCCTTAATTTTGTCTTTTAAAAGCCCACATATTTAATTTACAGGCAGACTGCCTGTCATAATCGCATCCTGGATAGTAAACTGCTTAGACATCACCTTGTCCACATCATCTCCCAACTATTAACGATCTTTCACTGTTTAAGCAATTTTATAATAATCTAATAATCAAATTTATGGGCCACATAATTTTTACAAACAGTACAACGCATGTGGGATTTGTTCTCTGCATTTAACCCATCCTAATTAGGAGCAGTGGGCAGCCATTGTGCAGCGCCCGGGGAGCAGTTAGAGGGTTAGGGCCTTACTCAAGGACACACTCGGCAGTGGTCGGTACTGGACTGGTGACCCTCCAGTTCCCAAGCCAAGTCCCAACGGACTGAGCTAATGCCGCCCCTTTAATCCAGATGAGTGGCATATTTCTCTGCAACTTCCCCTCTCCTTTATTGATTTCACCTGGATTTTGTAGTGTCACATGCCTTAAATCCTCTATAAAAGAATGAGGTTGGTTTATATAAACAATTGTAGAGTCACTGGATTAAATGTGTTTTCCGAAAAGGTCCATCCAGCTTTCCAAGAAAACATTTCTTAAGGGATTGTGTAACTCTGTAAACACACACTTTGAATAAGAGCTTAGGTTTGACATTGAGTTACAAAAGCAGTTAAGTGTTGTTTAGTGTGTTTTTAATTGTGGATCGTTCATACACAGACTTATTCATACAACACTGCCACTCTTGCTTCGCCAGGTCTTTCTACTGCTTTTTAACATGCACGTCTCTTATTGTTTCCTGCCTGTCATCTTTTGCTACTTTATTTCCCTCTCTAACACACTTTCTTTCCGTGACCTCTGCTCACCCTCTCATTTACTCCTTCATTCTATGTCAATCTTCTCAAATCTTTTTCTGCCACATATCTTCTTCCTTCCCCATTGTTCTCTTCTTTCCAACTCCCTTATCTTTCCTCTCTCCTCCACCCTATCAACTCTCTCCCTGTTAATCCCCCTCTTCTCTCCTTCCCCCTTTTCTCCTCTTTCTTTTGTCTCTCTCAGATGCAGGATGCTATGGGCTATGAGCTGCCATGGGTCTATTTTGTCTCTCTCGTCATCTTCGGCTCCTTTTTCGTTCTCAATCTCGTTCTGGGGGTGTTGAGCGGGTAAGAGGTTGTGCTGTTGTCATGTGTGTACAAATGTTTGTATGTGTGTTTGTGATGTGACTGTAAAGTGCATAGTGTTTTAAATGTGATAATGGCCATGCAACAAGACTCCCTGGAACAGACATTTAAAGTGCAGTTTATACTTTTTTAAGGAACCAGTGAGCTGAAGATTAGAATCAAATGGAAATAATCCATGGCTTGCCACTACAAAAAGCACATTATTGTGCATTCTTATTAGTATTATTGTTGTCATTTCTGTTTATATAAAGTGAATATAAAGTGAATTTTTTTTTATTCACTTTATATGCAGTATCTTTTGAAGTAAACTAAATTTGGATATGAAAATGCAGCTTCTCCTGAATATAACTTTACACATACTGTACTGTACATGTTACTTCAAAGCATTTTGTTTGGAGGCTATTGTTGCTGTTCAACTAATCAAACATAGTGTAAGCTCAGGCAGGCAACAAAATCAAGCTCAGCTCACAATCCCAGTGCATGTGTCAACCTTTATCAACATAATCCCTGTCATCACCATCATGATTTCAATGGAGGTTCAGTTGTGATTTACTGTACACAATAGGGGATTTTTCAGGACAAAGCTTGTCTAATGGTTGAAGGTGACTACTGTACAGGCATCAGCCACCCTACAGGTGTAAATAATGTTTCTAACAGCAAAAATTGCATCAAATGTAAAACAACTACATTTATGGAGTTTCTAAATGCCACAAGATTATCACAGTTCAGTCAAGTGGTATACAGACAATCTCCCGCTCTCTCTGCTTTCTGTTCCACTCAATCAATCCTTTTTCACAAGCCTGAGAGAAACACACACATGCACTCATACACACACAGGAGAAGCAGTAACATGCCCTCAGTCTATCTGTTATGTTCATGTCAGTTGACCTCAAGAGGCCACATCCTGTCACAACCTATCTGTAATGGACAGGTGGACACACACAAACACACACACACACACACACACACCGGCAATTTTAATTACATAAACAAGCAACTTTTTATATTCCTTTCTTTCTTTTAGTTAAGTAAGTTGTTTTTGTTCAGTCCAGTCTCAGTATTAGGGACCTTTATCTTCCTTAAACACCTGACTGCATTTAAAGATCAGTCTTGTGTATGTTGGTTTACATGTGCTAATTAGCATGCAGACTTTGTGTATGTGACAACAGCATGTGCATATTTGTACAATGTAGAGACATGTGCTATGTGTGTGTGTGTGTGTGTGTGTGTGTGTGTGTGTGTGTGTGTGTGTATGTTTTGTTTCAATAAATACTGCTCCAGAAGGCAAGCTGGGTGCTGTTTTACCCCACTCTGCCAAGTCACAATGTTTTAGTACAAGCACCACCCGGGTCTGTAAGGACACACTCGGGTATTAATAATTCACCCCTCAGGTCAGCCGTGGAGGTGGAACGCTAAAAAAAGTTGCACAACAGGGAAAACACAACAGATAAAAAAGGTTCTACTCAGGACAGTGTGGAGTCTGGAGGAAACATGGCATTAAAGATGGAAATTATGGGATGGAAGGCTGCACTTAATCATTTTTTATAAGCGTTCATAAAACATAAGTTACCAGATATGAATCATCAGATTAACAAAAACATGACAATAATAATAATAATAATAATGACACCTCAAAAGTAAAAAAACAGTCATTAAAACAACAGTAAAACTTGAATGAATTAAAATATAGACCAAACTGTGTATTGTATTATTTAATTGAATTTATTTTGAAAGAGTAAAGACACTGAGAGAGACTAATTTGCCATGAGGACAGTAATGATGTCCAATCCATGGGAGTCTTGCTGCACAGTCTGTTGTGTCTAACTAAAATGCCTTCTCTCCACAGTGATTAAGCCTGAAATAAGCTGATTTGAGTGGAACTAAAGTGAATCAAACTGTTTTTAAATGTATAACCGTCCCTTCTCACAGAAACACAAGAGTTTTATTTATCATGTGGGTCCTTCATAACTTTCTGTTGTTATTGTTTGCGCTTATTAGTATATGGTCACAGTTAAAAATATAGAACTATACACACACGCACCCATGCATACAAATTTACAGATACAACCTTACACTTAGTGTTTTGCATAGCCAACTTCTAGTATTTCCCCTTAATCAACCATTACATCTCAAATTCTTCAAATCCACATTAAGACACATTAAGATTACAGCTGACCTATTCCATTTCCATGCAGCCCACTAAGTCACTCAGACAGATATTATGAATGCACCATAATACCAGCAGGGATCCTGCGGAAGCAAGCGGTTCAATGTGTTGGGAACCTTTACTAAGGATCTAACTCCTCCCCTCTTTCCTACCTTCCCTTGTAATATTCCTTATTGGTCCTTCCTTACTTTCATCCTTGCCCTCTTAATCAATGTCCTCTCTACTTGCCTTCCTTTTTCTCCCTCCATCTTTACCTTCAATCCATCCTCTTTGTCTCCTCTCCTTGGTCCCACTCCTCTATGCTTTCATCTCTTCACCTAGGTGAATGATGCAGTAGGGTACAAGTGGCCCTGGGTGTATTTTGTCACCTTAATCATCATCGGATCCTTCTTTGTGCTAAACTTGGTTCTGGGGGTATTGAGCGGGTAAGGGCAAGGTTAAAGGTCACTTGAGACTAACTTCTCTTTCTCTCCTTCATGCCTTCCTGCTGTTGTTCCTAGAGAGCTTTGCTGTTTGTTTGTGCTGAGGGGAGCTCAGTCTCAATATTAATGAATGCACACAGAACATGATTACTATAAATAATTCCCTGTTGAATTCTTTTTTTGTGTGCTTTGAAAAATATTTTTTGTGGAGATAGTTATTTACATTTAACTCCCAAAATACATTTGTGAATAATTTTTTGTGCATTTTTTAATACTGAGATTGATGCAACTCCATAGGACTCTTTTCTTCTGTCTGCTTCTGACCGTAGATGGTGTTTAAGTTTAACAAGTACCGTATAAAAGATGTACAGTAGTGTGTTGTAATAAAAGTGAACTTAATCAGGTTCAGTTTGAGAAGTGTTGTAGAAATGCAATACATATAAGCACATGTGGCACAGGGAAAAGTCCAACCTGTATACTGTAAATGTATGTACTATTTTATGATGCTTATGTCCAAAGTGTTTTACAGCACCACATTTGTATGTGGATTTGCAGCTCTACCCACGGAGCTAAATTAACTGTACATACATGTTTAGTCATTATCATTGTAGCCGAAAGTAGTAAAATTGTACTCCTGCATCTATTGAGACATTTTGGATATATCTAAAAGGTCTCTCTCCAAATCTACAGTGTTGCTTCTTTAGAATACCGCTATTACTGTCATAAAATGCTCGGTTCTTAGTGCGGCTGTGATGGGATATGACACTGTAATCTCAATTTAAGAGGAACAGCCAGTGGTAAAAATTCAGGCTGTCATGAAATTTGCTCTTGTCGAACACTGTAAGGAAATTGGCAAATACTTTGCATTTTGCAGTTGGGTTCCAGCTTTTGAGAATACATTAAAACATCAACCATAACCATGTCTTTATGCTTATTGTTATTTAACCTCACCAGGTTATTGGCCACCCACCAGCCCCTTTTTAAAAATAAGTGACTACCTTCGCATTTAAGTATAATTTTGAATTTTGAGTTTTCTCCGCATGCAGTAGGTTATTATAAACTTCAGTATGAATCAGGTTTAGGATAGTGAAGTGTCACCCCTGACTGACTGACTGACTGACCTGAATCTGACTCTCGATACCCAAAGTGATGTGACAGCAGCATTGTGGGAAAAATAATAGAGGTCTATCTGGTCCAAACAGCTTGGGGGGTTTGGCTGTCTGACTCTTTGTCTGACTTCTGACTAATGATGCTGTCAACACACTACACAGCCTGACCTTTTACCAACTGCTTCCACCATGTAGTGTGTGTGGGTCTCAGATTGGCATAATAACTAATGGCTTAACAGGAAGAAGGAGAGCGACGGATGTAGAGACAAAAATATCGGGTGTGGCTGTGTTTGTTTGAATTTGATGTAATATGTAAATAGAAAGAATGGGGAGAGTGGCTGTTTTGAAAGAGAATGTGGAGCAATAAAGGAACAAGAGGTGCGGGAAAAAGAGAATTCAGAGATGATTTAGGACAGAAAATTCAATGAAGAGAATGAGTGATGTATTGATGAGTTTTGCTCTTACGTCTGCACACAAACACCAATCAATAGGATTGGGTCCTAATGTTCTGACAAGTGAGACAATAACAGTTGTCCTCATACTGAAACTGTTTTCAGACTTCAGTAGTAAGTTCCACTTGTTTGATGGATGGATGGACAGACACTGCATATGCAGCTTTCACACATGTAATGTCCAAATCTAAGACAACAAGGTGCGAGATAGCTAACTAACAGATGAAATATCAAAATCTTAATTATTAGAAATAATTAATTATTATAATTAGTCATTTAGCTAACGCTTTTATCCAAAGCTACTTACAATTGCTCTATATGTCAGAGGTCGCACCCGGGCCTCCCACTCCAGACGAATATGTCTTATCCACTGCTCCATTGCCAATAATTTCACTGCTGCTATTGTTTTTTTTAAATCACCTACTTTTTCCACATATTTGTCAGTTGTGTCTAAACAGAGTGGCAGAGAGGAGCAGACACACATAGGCAGGAGGAAAAGCCCCTCCCACAGATAATCATTTGTAATTGTTGCAGAAAAAGCAACGCCCACTAATCCAGGAAGACATACAACTCTTAATTTACGAGGTTATTATAAAGATGAGCTCTAAGGTTACATGTGATTAGAAAAGAGCAGAGGAGCTGAATCACTTTGAGAGTAGACTGGCTAGGGGGAATGTGGCCAGGAATTACACATTGTAGCTTTTTAATTCTTTCTTTTGTCCTTGTTACAACACCTGGAAGTAATTTCACCAGGTTTCATCATAGTATTTTAATCTTTCACACTCTTAACATTGATTTCAGTTGTCTTAAATCATCTTTGTTTATGTCCTTTTTGTCCACATCACCCCAAAAATTGCAAGGATCTTGAAAAAGCAGGCATCATACTGTGTTAATGTATATCTTTATTTCGACCTATGGCCACAACCTCTGAGTGGTGACCGAAACAATGGGATGGCGACAAAAGGTGAGAAGCTCAGTGACGCAGGACGACCTCTGTGCAGATCCACTTTTCCTTCAGTTTGACAGAAGCAAGCAGGGGTGGTACAGCTGGTGAGGGGTGCCCTCTCTGTCCCTCCCTCTGAGGTAGTAACAAGCACATTGCAACTGGGAGGAGACCCAGGGGTGGATGCAGAACACACAGCAGAAACTCCCTGCAGGCCTGGGAGCACCTGGGGCCCTGTTGCCCTGGGACTTCAACATTGCATACAAATAAAAATTTAGAAGTGAGAGAAACAAGACTATTTTGTAAGATGACACACTGGGACTGAATTCATAGCCAGACTCCTATTAGGTGACTTTTCATTGAAGCTCTAATTTGCATGAATTACAAAATGTGGCCTCATTATGACTGAATCACCTTCAGTCTGTATTATACACATTCCTACCAGCGCATCAGGCTGGCAGGATAGTTATCATGTTTACCAACACAGAAACAGAACTAAATTGAACTGATGGCTGCTTAAAATATATCTAGGTGAATTGGATTGTTTGAGATGTGAATCCAGCTCCAATATGTCTGGATGGGCTTTCATCTGTATTTGCATACTAACACCTTTTCTCCTTGGCAGAGCTTTTTTTCTCTTCACACAGTTTTTCTCTCTCCAGCAGGTTTTCCCTCCTTCCTGTTCTGAAGTACTGTATAATGTTTTCTGTTATCACAGTATTGTTACATGATTTGTTTCGCAACACTTCAGTCTAGATTTTCAGATTCTTTTTCCCCTCCCTCTGTTTCTGTTCTCTCTCTGTAACCCTTCTCAATCCCCCACCCCTCCATCCTGCTCCCCTCCTCCCAGAGAGTTCTCCAAGGAGAGGGAGAAGGCCAAGGCACGTGGTGACTTCCAGAAACTCAGAGAAAAACAGCAACTGGAGGAGGACCTCAAGGTAGGCTGTTAATGTAGGCATTCAAGAGTATGTAACAGTCTTTACCTGAAGATTCACTATTATATTATACTATTATATATTATATTATATTCATTATTATATTACATATTAGAATCATGTGTAACTTTTAAATTAATACATTTAAGCAAGTACACAAGATATGCAGAGTTGCATGAGAATTAAGACGTCTTATCGTGGAACATCCTTTGTCACTTGTGAGGAGGAAGGCCAACAGAATATGGAGGTCAAAGACAGGTCCAAAATACCACCAGTAGCAAACATAAAAAGGAGAGTAAAAGTTATTCACAAGGCACTTTTGAAGTTACAACATGCTCTAAAAATGGCATAAAAGAGGAAACCGTAGATACTGTAGATGTAACTACTGTATGTCCATACATACAGTACTGAATACTGTATATACTTTCTGTGTGTGTGTGTGTGTGTGTGTGTGTGTGTGTGTGTTTGTGTCAATATAGGGCTATTTAGACTGGATCACTCAGGCTGAAGACATTGACCCAGAGAATGAAGAGGAGGGCTTGGATGATGACAAACCCAGAAACCGTGAGTGCTACTGTGTGTGTGTGTGTGTGTGTGTGTGTGTGTGTGTGTGTGTGTGTGTGTGTGTGTGTGTGTTAAACAGTAAATTAGGCCAATAGGGAGTAACGATCTTTTTACCTATTTCAGTTTTCCTTGAGAATGACTGTGCATATGTGCATGTGACTATTGTTGTGTGCTGGTACTGGCGTATTCAGTTTGTTTTTTTTGTGTGACTTTGACTTTTACACAAGACTTTGTCTCAGAAAGACAAGGTTGAATGATCATATCTTTATATCTTAAGATATTTTGTGTTTAGTGCACCAAGAAGTTGTTTGAGTCAAATCTAGAGCTTGGTCTAAAATTAGCTCACTGCAATCTCTGTCACATAGTAGTGGCTTATAGTCAGTGAAGTTTAACTGACAGAGTGACTGATAGACTGAGATGATGTTAATATTGTCTGCTTGCTTTGGCTTAGAACCCTCTTGAGGTTTAAAACCTGTTTTAGATATTAGTGGAATGTGTCAGACTGCAGCTAATAGCCTCTGGGCACACACTCACATACACACAACAAATACTCACTTATGCAAACTCACACACTGTAGGTATACACCCTTAGGAATGTGTGTGCTTGACAGACAGAAATGTACACATGCAAAATAACACCATGTCTCTCTCCACAACACCTCCAGAGAGAGGCAGCCACACATGGCACATGTCTCCCCAGGACTGAGCTACATTTCCTGGGGGGGGAGAGTAGAGCACTGGCCTCTTTTGGCCTGGAGGTTTGATCTATGAGAAGATAAATAGAACTTGAGAGAGGGATGGTGAGAGAGGCAGGGGTTTGATGAAAAATGTGTTTGTCGTATTTTTGTGCACATACTGTTCAGTATGCAGCATGTACTGTGAACTATTGTGTAAATGCTTGGAGCTCAGCATGCTCAAACTGATGATGAATGAATGAATGAATGATGACTAAATATGCAGAGGCAGAGCGTGCATTCTGCATATACTCGCACAGCGTGCTCATTTTCTACAAAGCACTGTGGCTCATTCTGAGAAACACTGCCAAGGGAAGAAGAAAGAACGAAAACAATGATGATCTAATCTCTCAGTGAATCTCAAGAAATTAACATGGTCAAATGAGCAATGACCCACTTTACATGAAAATGAGGCACAGCACCCCTGTGGCTAATCCGTAACAAATCGACTTGTTTTCACCTGTTACCGTTGTGCTCCCCTGGACCAAACAGAGTGGCAAAAACACATCAGCACTGTCTGAGATAATGGCACAAACATTAACAAACAAACAAATACAGTATGTGGCCCTGAAAATGGGCCCGTTTTGTAAAATGTCACATCACAATATAGAGATGCTTCTGCATCACTGTCACATGTACAATCTCCAGACAAGTGAGTTCTTGATCCAGTCTTGATCCAATATAAACGTGCATATGGCTTTTACTAAAATCCTACACATTTTCCATAGAAATAACAATTTAAAAGTATTAAAACTGTACTCAGATCGTATAGGTGCAAGATTCAGTCCATTGCTTTTACTAAACGGTATAGCTTAGGCCATTAGATTTAGATGATCTGACAAAATGATTGATACATATAATCCAAAATTGTCCATCAAAAAGATCAATCATTCGTCTGTTTGTGAAGTTGGAAAATCAAGTCACTTGCTCTCTTATTTCTCTGCCACCCTCTGTCCTCGATGGAGGGATCCTCCTCTGGGAAGATGAATGAGGGCAGTTTGTCCCTGCTGCCCAGCACATTTTGCATAGACTAGTGCACACACACACACACACACACATCCTAAGAAGGGATAGGACAATAGAAGATAGCAGAAAAAGAGATGGAAAGGAAAATGTTGATGCTGAGATAAGAAGAGAGATAGAAACAGAGAGACAGAGCTAGAGAGAGAGAGTGTGTGTGTGTGTGTGTGTGTGTGTGTGTGTGTGTGACACAGAGGGTATCTGGGACGGTGAACAGATGGGATATCACATCATGAACAAGTCACACTAGTAACCACACACTCATACGGAGACCACACACACCTTTCTATGTGTGAACTACGGGGACATAATATTGATGTATGATGTGAATAGTGTGTTCATATGAAGACAGATATTTATTGTGTGTGTGTGTGGTTCTTTTTGGTGACAGAGAGTAATAGATGTCATTCACTACATTGATTTTCACTGTTTTTAGTAATAGCATGAGTGAGTTTGCCTGAGTCATGAGCCTCTAAAACATGGAGGTTATCATTTGTGATCATGACCAACAAATGCATACACACATGCACACTCAAATTTGATGATATATAATGTGATATAAATGCCATTTTAGTTCTTTATTTATATATGTGTATTTCCTCTGTTACTTTGTGTGTTTCCTGTGTAGATGTGTAAGTGTAGCTTACGTTTTGATACTACTCTGAACATATTTTCAATAAATGTAATATTTTGCCTTTTTCAAACGTTAAGTATCAGCAGTTCTGTTGTCTGTTGTTCCGTTTTCACCAATGAAACTTTGCTTTTCCACCTTCTGCTGTGATAAATGTGCATTTGCCTTGAGGATTAAAATACCAGAGGAAGCACAGTTTGTTTTTTGTTGAACAGCTTTATTCCCTATGGCTTTCATCAAAGTCACCAAACAACCCCTACAGAGTACATTTAAAAACAATAGATGTATAAAACAACAGCATGTTGTTGAGTTGGATGTGCGGCCTCCAGTGTTTGCTTTTAGTTACTGTGATAGTGGTGGTCATAAAAAGTATTATTATATTATTAACAGTATTTTTTAACAAAGCATTTGTATATACAGTATCTGGTCATCATCCCATCTCTCTGTAGCCTACACGTTTATATACTGTATATATTTTATATTTGTCTTTCAATACTATGTGTTTTTCACCAACACTATGAAGCGTATTTGTGAAGGCCGTTTTGTGTGTGTGCACTTTTGAATACGGTGGTACCCAAGAAGACAGTTTTCCTTTGATCATTATTGTCTGCAATTTAGTCAAAGCTTAAACTATCCTTGTGCAGTGTTAATTCAAATATATAACTATGTATATGATTATCTGCTTTGTGAGTGCATGTGTGCGTAGCTGTGTATTTGCATATATGTTTGTATACTAGATGTCATGAATTATGTCTGTGCATGTCGTTTTCCTTTTTTATTATTATTATTATTTCTGCTGCTGTACAAGGGTGCTTGGAGAATCACATCTAAATCATTGGAAAAGTGAGCAGAATTCAACAATAGAATAACCCCAGAATGGAGTAGCCTGCTGACGAATACACAGACTCACAATGATGTAAATAGTGTGAGAGGAACGGGTGAAGTGGACACAAAACAATAGCTGTTGTGTTGGCCAAGAGGAAGGAAAATAGGATAGACAAATTTATTGTTCTGTGTACTGCTTAGTGAAAACAACACAGCAAACTGCTTTTGAATGTTGACTTCCTCAACTCTCTCCCAATGAATAATTTCTTTCTTCCCATCTTTCTCTCTCTCTCTGTCAGTCTTTTTATTCTTTCATTTCTTTTTAGCTTAGAGAATGAGAAGGTTCTAGTTCAGATATGATGGCAAGGTCTGGCAATGAAATAAGATTAAAAGGCTAAATGGTACGAGAGAGGAAAGGCAGTAATGCCTTCTTGCTAGCTATGCTAGTAATACACCTCAAATTACAGTAATTGCTGGACAAATGAAATCAGTCATTTTTGCAGATGCCATTGTGTTTCTTTGCAACAGATTCTGGAATGGATGAGGTAGTACGAGTACATGTGATTGTATGTGTTTGAATGTACAGTTTGTGTGCATTTGTGCTGATTGTGAGTACCTATTTGTGCGCACACACGCGTGTGTGTGTGTGTTTGTCTTGCTGAGCCGTGCTCTCTGTCCCCAGGTAAGAGCCATCGTTTTCAGTCTCTACGTGGAGCCGTGAAGAAAAATGCGGCTTTCCTTCGTAAGGCGTGTGCGTTTGTCTGCATGGTCCAACACTACAGCTAAAGATTTACTGGAAACATGATTGTAGACATGCAAGCGGACTGCACCCTCTCCTTCCTTTTTTTCCGCCCCCTCCAGAGCTTCAAAGCTAAAGTGGCTGCCTCTTAACACTGTAAAGGAGTTTATCCTCATTGTCTTCGTCTTTGTACACCTTCCACTGAATAATTATCTAATCTTAAGGCAAGGGAATAAGAAGATAAGGAGAGGAATTATTTCTGTATTGAGATGCAGCCACTGTTTTCCTTTTTAGATATGTAGGAAAGGAAACCATTCACACCTGCCTGAATTGTCTGAAAAAAGAGAGGACAATGTCATCACAGAAAAAGTTTACACACGTACACACTGACAACTAAAAACATTTGTAATATTTGTGATGTCACAGTCCTTTCCTTGTTGTTTCAGATTCCTTTCCCTAAAATCCCCCTGCATTGTTTTTAGCCACGTCAGCTCTGATAATAAAAGATAATGGAGAAACAGTTTTAAAATTTGAATTTTAGCCTTTTTATCATTTTGACTGGGCCATATTGTTGAGTAGAAATGTAAGATACTGGCACTCACTGACTTCATTGTTGAGTGCTTACATGCTAACAATCTGTTTATGGGTTATTTTTAGTCATCCCCAATATAATGTGACAATTGCTTAGTGAGACAAAAACTAGAGACTAAAATTCAAAACATTACATTATTGTATCAAATTAAGAGTGCATGCAAAACCTCATGTTCTGAATGTTTGTACTAGGATTTAAACTGTGAATTCACAGTTCAGTCATATTTGGTCAGCTCGGGTTTGGTATTGGAAATGTGGACCAATTAAAATATCTGAAAATGGCTTCTGGACATGATGGCATGGATAATTAATATCTGACTTATTCCAATGTGTTAATGCAGACACAAAACAGATCTGTACACAAGTACACAAACACACATTTTTTCCCCCAAAGATTACTGTAGTGAATCATTTTTATCATCATGCAGTTCAATACATTCTGGTGGAGTTTGCTTACTTTCAGTGCTATTATTTCATATTTTAATACATTCACACATGCCAACATATGCAAGAATGAATGAATCCCTCTTTTGTATTAAATACTTTTGACCCTTCCCTATCTTTCTCATTCCCTTTCTCCGTCCTTCAATTTCTGTCCCTCCCATGCTCCTTGGTCCTATTCCTTCCTACTCCCTCTTCATCTCCTTCCTTCTCTGTGTCTCAGGTCTTTGGGGTTTACTCTAACAATAGGCATTAAACTAGTTCAGGGTTCCATTGAGGAGAAGGCACATGGCTGGTTTTATATTTGAAAGGCTTTAGCCTAGGGAGAGACCGGAGGGCCTCGCGTGCTTTTAACTAAGTAGCATAGCAGCAGGTAGCACGTGTTGTATGAGCGAACATACAGCGTGTTCAGAGCAGAACAGTAAGACCACGACACAAAAGTTATCCATCGCCAACCATGTGGCAAAGTGCATTGTTCACTCTGTAGCTTACTTTGATGTATGAGGTTAGCTAAGTGTTTAAAAAACAGCACAAGAAAAAAAAAAGATTTTCTAAAGCTATGAATGCTGCAAATCTTATTTACTAATTTATCCTATAAACTTAATTGGAAATCTGCCTGGGGAACTAGGTTGGCCCAAAATGCTTTTGTCATTGTTTGAAGGGGGAATGACTTGATGACTGCAGCGCCCTTTAGCTTAGGATGATCGACTGCATACTGAGAGACACTTTGCTTAACTTGATTGCTTATTTGTTTGGCACTGCTCTATATCTTTATTCAAGGTCTTGAAACTTGTATATAAGATACAGGTTCACCACAAGTAGTGTTTTATGTGGACCTGTATTTCCAGTTAGCAAGTCCACATGGAACACTATTACAAATCTCAGCAGGAATGCAGAACGGCCAGTGTGAGGGTTGAAAATTGTGTTCGGAAAGCAACTTCTAACACATAGTACATGTAAACTGTGTTACTGCAGCTGATATAATAGAGCACAATTGCATGATAAGCAAAGATTGTTCAAGTCAAGATTATGATTATTCAGCTTTTTTAAATTACTTCTCATCTTAAGTGCTGATCATGTTCCTAGGTTTCACGCTAAGAGTCGTGTTTGGTGGGGGGGGGTATCTTACTGTAAAAAGAGACATAAAGATTCATATGCAGTAATTGACTCTGGTACCCAGAGGGTGTTACAATAAGTGTTTGAGGTGACAGTGAAGGCAGGACAGCACATTTCCGCAGGCAGGCAAAGGCTGACAGAAGCAATATAAAGCAATGTATCACTTCATATCTGTCTCCCAACCAGTTATCCCCACCACATTCATCCATCTCTTCCTCTCCCTCGATACTTCCATCTCTCCTTCCTCTCTATCTCTATTTTTTTTTGTTGGTTCTCCCTTTTTTCCTCTAACACCTCTGCCCATTCATATTACTCCTATCCTTCCTTTACAGCAGTCTCTGCCTCCATCTTCACAGTATTCATCATTCCATCTTTACACATCATTACACTTGTCTTTAAATAAGGACAAAGTGACACATTTGCAGTCTCCTTGTGCCTTATAAACAAAGACAGACTGGTTTCAGTGAACCCTTCTACCTGTTTACACATCTGCAAAAAAATCTTTGGAGCAGGGAGTTAATTTTCCTGCCAAAGCTCTCACAGCTTGATTACAGTTTAGAAGACTGAATAAAAAGCATTTCAAGGTTTTTTCAAAACCTTGGCTGGAGTTGATCCCCCACAATGCTTGCAGACCAAAGACAAAATCTACAGGATGTTTTTATCTTTCAATCTCCATGAGCTATAAAATCACAGAAGGGTTTTGTTAAGATTTAATTCACTCGAAGTTGAGAAATCCCTCAGCTTAGAAGTTGAAATCCATCCTAATAGCTGTTGCAGAGGTTGTGTCCCAGGATCCTTAACCGGTAAATATTGCTAGTATGGCAACTTACACACTGGGTGTAATTAGTTAGTCAATCAGTGAAAATTACTTTTTTAGATTTTTAGATTACTTTAACTTTTTAGTGTTTGACCCAGTGTTCGACCCAGTGTTCCAGTACTCACATATAGAAGACCGAATGGACTTTATAGCTTTCAAGTGTGTGTGTAGTCATACATTTGTTTTGGAGCAAGCATTATACATACAGTAAAAAACATAAGAATGTTGTGTGTGAGGATGTACGACCTATTTCCCTGTCCTGTTAATTCATCTTCTCTTTCTTTCTTTTTTCTGTCTTTCTTTCTACATCCGTTTTCCCTTCCCCTTTGCCTCTGCTGCTCTCTGTCTCACAGTGAGCATGCCAGCCAGCGAGAATGAATCAGTCAACACAGACAACGCCCCCGGGGGAGACGTGGAGGGAGAGACCTGCTGTACCCGGTTAGCGTAAGTACCTCACCCTCCCTGATACACACCACTTCTCCCCCCTCTATCCCTCAGCTCTCTCAGTCACCTTCTGTCAGTCCCAAGGATGGACCTCCATCCTGCATCTCTCCTATATTAGCACTTGATTATTATCCGTGGTACGTGTGTGGCTCAGCCTGCTTCTGTCCTTCACTGATCTCACAAAACCAGACCTCTGTCTCATCAAGCGCACAGAGGTTTGGAAGAATTAATGCACTAACGCTGGTTAGAGGAGAGCAGAGTAAAAGTGGTTTGTCTTCATACTCTAAACTGATCAAATTTTGAAAGGGAGGACTCCTTAAGAGACAACTGAACAGATGTGCTGTTCCTAGAGGCGGTCTTTTTCATTTTCACAGCCAATAAAATGACAAAATTCTGTGACCTTCATGCAGCATATTTGGGCTAAAAGAATTAATCCACTTAACCACATTGCCTTATATTTTTTTTGTAGTGTGCTACAGCTGAACAACCACATTGAAGTCTGAAGTTGGTTCTAAGACTAGTTGCTGGATTAAAAAAAACATTTTAGCTGAAAATTCAAATTTAAACTGTTTTTAATCTCGCTTTTGTGCTCATTTTCAATATTAAAATACAGTATGCCTGGGGAGCAGGTTCAAGGATGGGGATTATACTGGAATTATTTCAAAAGTTGATTCTGTGATTTATAAACTGTAAAATTTCAATAGACAAAAGTGAAAAAAAGAATATATATATATTTCACTAAGAAATACAGGTTTATAGTTTGTATCACGGAATCTGTGCATAATCTTTCCAATGTCTGGTGTGACTCAAGTTTTGACTTTGCAGAATAAGTCAGTGATATTGTTATTTTAAGGAAGTTATCTCAAAGAAGAAGCCCATTTTGTGAGGTCAAAGTGCCCGTTGACTCATGTGTTACAAAGAAAGTTTGACCATCATTTGAGATATCACAAAAGGTAGAAAAGCAGGACGTCTTTCATGGCTCATCTAACAGTAATCCAGTTTTATTTCCTTCTCTCCATCAATTTCTCTCTCTCTTTCTTTCTCTTGTTGGTGAAGTGCTTTCCTCCTCCCCTGTGGGAGCTCACGAACAGCTGACTCAGTCGCTGCTCGTCCCCCTCTCCTTTCATTTTTTACATTATTCAAACAAGTTCATTGCTTTCTTTCCTAGACACAAGGCCACGCAGGAGCCGTGACCCCAGCAGGCCCACTTCAGCACACACAAGCAAACACACCTACATATAACACTGTTCATCACTGTGAACGTAGCTGAATAGAATAGAGAAAGTTACAATATAAAACAGACAATTTAGAGGCGAAATCAAACTGAATAAAAAATCTCCTTGACCAGAGAAACAGTAAAGCCGGTAGGCACACAATTGTTTATCCGTACTCTCGCTGTCCATCTGTTACTTTGTCTTTGTTATGTTGTTTGTGTTTATTTGTCCCGTCAGACCAAAACAACTCAAAACAAAGGATATCTGAGTCTTCAGGAGGCGCCACAAACCCAACACATAATGCGAAATATAGTGAAACCATAATTTTATGACGTATGCATTAGCAATTTGTTTCACTCCATTTGATGCTATATAGTAGCATTATAATTATTTTCATTTGCGAATAATCTGCCAATTAGTTACAATTTATTGATTAATTGTTTTGGCTATAAAATAAGGAAAAATGCCTGTTACAATTTCCCAGAGCCCAAAGATGTCTAACAAATCTTTTGTTTAATCAGTCCAGAACCCAACCATATTCATTTTAATATCATATATGACAAAGAAAAGCATCAAGTCCTCACATTTGAGAAACCCCAGTAAATATTTGCCGTTTTTGCTTTAAAACTAACTGAAATGATTATTTGATTCCCAAAGTAGTTACAGATAGTTACTTACTAGTTAATATTCTGTCAGTCAACTAATCAGTTAATCAACTAAATGTTGCAGCTGTAGGCACATTTCAATATATAATTATTGTGCTTTGACAAAGAAATATTAACTCAAAGTTCACTTACTAGCTTTTTGTGGAGCTTTTGGACGCATCTCATGATTTACATCAGTGGGTGAAGTTTGATCAAGTGCTCACTTAGTGATTGTGTGTATTAAAGATCAAATATTTAGAATACAAAACTTAAGTCACTACATTCTACTAGATTATACATTATCTACTCGTCTATGAATAAACATCTTGTTGTGGCACAGAGTATAATTTCTCATTCATAACTTCCAAAAGGGCTGCAGGATAAACATTTGTCATTTCTCATTTGGTCTGAAAATTCCCATAAAAATGTGTAGGTCTACAGCATCAGTCTCCCTTTTTATTATCCACAAAGGAGCTCTAGAATTTACACATGCAATTTTGAGTTTTACTTAAATAAGTGGCTTTCATTGTTATCTCACCAAATGAATAGTAAACCTTGCCAAGACTGGAAATGCAAACCCTCATCCTTCCTCTTCGAGACTGCGACAAGTTTGGCTAGGGGCATTTGCTCACACTATTATGGAGATAGAATATGAGACTTCAGTGTTTGTCAGTTCTTCTTCACATTACTATGGAGACAGACCTGGGGGTAGGAGCTACTTCAGCTCCTGCTGATCTCATAATCGAGACGGACACATGGAGAGAAGAGACGTGTGTACTGTCAGCCTCCATATCCAGCCAGTCAGTCATTTTATTCTATCGTTCAGTCAGTTAGTGAGTCATTTCATTGCTTCAGTCAGTCGGTCAGCCAGTCAGTCAATTCATCTGCTTATACAGACAAAATCACTACACAACAACAAATCCCTAAAATTCTTCAAGATGACTTGTGTTTATGACAGTATGTGATGCTACTACATTCTCTTTTGATTTATTCATGTTTCCAAAATTGATATAGACGCAATATAATGAATTTGAAATGCAATAAAAGGAGCATAAAGATGCTAACCAGTACATCATCGTCACATTCACCTATTAACCAAACATTTGTACTATTGTTATCAAGTTTGGTTTTCATTAAACAGCCTTTGGCTGAGAGAACAGCTTCAGCCTGTCCCACACCAACCAACATGTGGTTGTGTGGGACTTTAAATCATTTAAAAAAACAGATTGATGTTGTCAATTCAAATTTCCACAGTGGGGATTTCTCTTCTCTTCTGTTCTCTTCTTTTCTCTTTCCAGACACAATGTCTTCCATAATCTCTCGTCCTCAGTACTTTATGTATGTACCTTTTGCTGTTACAGTGGTGAACAATCAACAGACATTTTTCTATTAGTGAGTTGTGTTTGTTCACACCAGGGCTGATTGGAAGAAATTAAAACTTACTCAGATTTTTTTCTTTTGACTGGATGCCACTGTATACATGTTTGCAGGGGGTGATTTGTTCAAAAGGAAAGTTGGGTGATTTCAAGGTACAAGGTATTGTGATACAAGATATCAAAATAATGTTCTGCAGAGAAAAGACTGGAAGCTTTGTAGTGCTAGTGTAGTTCACCTCAGACCCTAAACCAGTGTTTCTCAAACTAGGGGTCAGGTCCCCCTGGGGGGCATAGAACCAGTGCAAGGGGGGTGACCAGGGGAAAAATATGGAATTGAAAGAATACAATTTATGTAGGAAAATATAAACACTTTACTGATGCTATCGTGCTGACCTGAATCATTTTGTTTATTTCAACCAAATTCAACTGGGCTCCTTTTTTATTTGTTTCTCCCCCAATATTGTTAATGATTGAAAAGAATTCAATCTATTTACATGTAGTGGGGAGGCTTGAACTTTTTTCAGCTTTTGAAAGAGGGTCATGACAGACAAAGTTTGAGAACCACTAAACTAACAAATGTTTACTTGGAAATTGCATCTCAAAAGTGCAGGAAATAATAGATGCACACAACTAAGTTGATCAAGGAACATTTTTACTACGGCTTTTGTGATAATGAGAGAAACCATCCTCCTTTATCCCACTCAAATCACCCCTTTCATGTTGTGTACCTGTCTGTATGTGTGTTGTGTGTGTGTGTATAATCCATTCTGTTTTCTGTGTTCCAGAAATAGGATCTCCAAATCCAAGTTCAGGTTAGTACATGTTGTTTACCATAGTCTTTTAATTCCCTGGCTCTAATGTCTCTGCTGTGGTATTTGTACGGTCGCTGGATGTGTGTGCTTGTTTACAGGAGTGCACAAGAAACAAACAAACTAGCAATAGACAGCCTTGCTCTTTAAAGAAATAGTTAAACTTTTTTAGAGCTAGGACTACTTTCTTTCTTGCAAAGAGTTAGATGAGAAGGTCGATATCATTGTCATGTCTGTACTGTAAATATGAATCTACAGCCAACAGCTATTTAGCTTAGCTTAGCACAAAGACTGAAACAGCTAGCCTGTCTGTGCCAGACTATTACTTGGCTGGGTACAGTAACTTTCTTGAGTTTCTGCAAAGTTAAGATTTTGTTACCTTTGGACAGAGCCAGGCTAGTGTCTCCATGTTTCCAGTCTTTGTGCTAAGCTAAGCTAACTGGCTGCTAGCTGTGACTTTGTTTATAACAGACAGATATAAGGGTGCATTACAGACATTAAAAATGACATGTATTCTACTGTCAGAATGCATGTTCGCTTGTGTTGTGCTGTGATTTCTGTCTCATGTAACATTCAGTGTGTGCATCATGGCAAAAAGCCGCTGTGTGCCATAGCTGACTCTAAACAGCTCTCACACACACTCGAACAGAAGACAGGTGAAACATGAATTTTGTATAGGCAGAGAGGGATAACTCTTCCTGGTGAGCTGTGTTGATCTGTTTGAAAAGAGGCATTCCAGTTACAGTACATGACAAATCTCCTTGCAAGCAGGTCCTGTGTTGTGGGGCACCAGTGGAAAAGGGAGCCAGTCATAAATAATGGAGAGACACCTACAACAGAAAAAGAGAGATACTTGATTAGGACTGTTGTGGTCTGGATTAATTTAGTTTTATAAATAACAGCTGATTCATCTATGATGAATTAAAAACACTCTCTGGTCAGACTCTGTTGTCTTACAAGAAGGTACTTTATTACAGTACTGGCACCAGGAAGCCAGTGAGATGGGCATGTCTGGCTCTTCTTAGCTATCATGTCTCTTTCTCTAAAAACAAATTCCAGTGAGAACCAGTTTCCAACAAGCATATTTCTAGAAACTGAGACACCCCAAGTACTTCTAATACTTACAACAGGACACTGAACCTTCTCTCACATCTAAGGTTACAATGTCCCTTTTCAGTTATTCAACAGATGATTTAACAGTGATTCAACAAATTAACATATACAATGCTTATCATAGTTGTATCAGATTGTTCAGGGCAATTAACTTATTGTTTTTATTCACTTTGTTTTAAGGCGGGCTATCATTAACAAATTATTGTCTGCCCATTGACTTTTAAGGTCATTTGGAGCAAAATCTTATAATTACACATTGCCATTTTTCCCAGTGTGCAAATGCTCCACTAACGGGTAGGGCGCCTCCATTTGTACATACAGCTGCACAAGTGTATTGTCAAATTGGATTCCCTCCTCAAAGTGTCTTATGTGAAAGGCTAAGGTGAGATTCATGCTACTCTTCTTCTTTATGCTGAGAACAAAAACAAAGTAGATTGTCTTGAGTTGTTTTGATTCCTCTCACTGAGATTATTTCAAGATGAGAATGGAAAAAGGAGAAATTTAATTTGTCCAGTCATTGTTACATGGGCGTAGGTAAAAAATAAAAAAAATAATGGCATGACTCTTTGAGTGGACTGGTGGTGACTGTGAGGTGTGAAGCTGGCAATTACCAGAAAAAAAATAACTTTGATTTTCAACAGTTGAATGTAGAAAAGCAAGAAAAGTGCAAAAGACCTTGTGTACAAAATGACACAGAACAACATGTTAAATTGTCTAAGAATTAACCACTTCTTCTTTTGAAGCATGAATTTCCCTTGAACTGAGAATCGCAATATAACACATTTCAGTTTAAATTTATGCCTTCAATCATTTCGTAAGAATACACGTTCCTTTTTTTTTTCTCAAATGGTGCATATCTCATTCTGCAACAAAGCTCTTCATACTTGCTTTTCCTTGGTGCAAAACGTCTTTGAGAATGACTAATTGTTCCACAGCTCTGCTCTCAAACAATATACAACCACGGGGCCAAGGGGTGATGTCGTCACTACCCTGTAGATAGATTATTGACTCTTTTTTTCTCTCTCTCTCTCTCTCCTTCGCCTGTTTGTTTTACACTCTCTTCTTCACTTGTTTCTGTTGATCATTCTTTGTTCTCGCTCTTCCTCTTTCTTTCCTCTCGTGTCTGGCTCTCTTCTCCTCACCCTCTTTCCGTACTGGCCCCTCTGTCTTTGACCCTTCCGCCTCTTTTTTTTTCTTTCTTTTGCCACGTCCCTCCTTTCCCTACCTCTTCCCTCACCCATCTTTTCTCACCTCTCCATCTCTCTCTCTCAATCTCTGCTTCTTCCTCCTCAGTCGATACTCTCGGAGGTGGAACAGGCTGTGTAGGAGGAAGTGCCGGGCAGCAGTCAAATCACAGGTTTTCTATTGGTTGGTCATCTTCCTGGTTTTCCTCAACACTCTGACCATCGCCTCTGAACATCACCAGCAGCCTCAGTGGTTAACTGATGTACAAGGTACATAAGAACACTCATACCCACATACATTCACGGATACATAAACACTCTCATTTTGATCGTAGGTAAATTATTCACTTCTTTGCGTTGTCTTTTCTTTTCCACTTTTCCTTTTATTCCATACCTTGTCCCTTTTTATTCTACCCCTATTTTGTTTTCCAATCCCTTCTCTTCTTTCTCTCCTTTCTTTCCTACTTATTAGACATAGCCAACAAAGTCTTGCTAGCACTCTTCACTGGTGAGATGCTGTTGAAGATGTACAGTCTGGGTCTACAGGTAGGTGGCTGACAGTAACGTTGTTTTCAAAAAAAATGTATAATATTGGAAAAGATTTGATTTTTTATCAATTCCAAGATTGTCAAGAGTGTTAAATGTAAACTCATGTTTTTATTCTCCTCTAATTGCCACCTTTAATTTCACTTCTATATTAACTCTCCACAGGCGTACTTTGTTTCGCTCTTCAATCGCTTCGACAGCTTCGTAGTATGTGGAGGAATTCTTGAGACCATTTTGGTGGAAACCAAGATCATGTCTCCTCTTGGCATCTCTGTGTTACGTTGTGTACGCTTGCTGCGAATATTCAAAATAACCAGGTTAATATAGACCTTTTTAATATTGACATTTATTGATTATTTGATAACATTATTTGATGACAAAGAGTGTATATTTGAAAAAGTAGTACTGGACAATAAAAGCAACTATTGTATTAACGAATGTCCTCAGGATGCATGAACCTGCAATCAATAGAGAAGAACCAGGGGAAACAGACCGGGAAGTGTAGTGTGCATTTGTGAGAGATAAATGTTTATTTGCACACATATAAACTGGATGTCTCTCCCCCAGATACTGGAACTCCCTGTCCAACCTGGTGGCCTCTCTGTTAAACTCTGTACGCTCCATCGCTTCCCTGCTGCTCCTGCTGTTCCTCTTCATTATCATCTTCTCCCTGCTCGGCATGCAGCTCTTTGGGGGGAAATTCAACTTTGACGAGACCCGACGCAGCACCTTTGACAACTTTCCCCAGTCTCTGCTCACTGTGTTTCAGGTAATGATTTTGCAAATGTTCCTGTTTTGCACCTTGTTTTCCTCCTGTGTTTTCTCCTCCATCTTGGTCTGTCCTCCATTCTCAGCTTGTGTCCATGAAATCATGATCTTTGTCTTCTCCATTTGAAAATACAAAAACATTTACATGTAATTTACTGTCTTTACGCAAAATAGATTTTTATTCAATTTATTTTCTAACTCCATAGATCCTTACAGGAGAGGACTGGAACTCTGTGATGTATGATGGTATCATGGCGTACGGTGGACCATCATTCCCCGGCATGCTGGTCTGCATCTACTTCATCATCCTCTTCATCTGCGGAAATTGTATCCTGCCGCAACAGAGCCCTAAGTAAAGTAGCTGCACAGCTGCGTGTATAATGTGGATATGAAGGGAGGTGGAGGGGTGATGAGTGATGACATGGACTGAAGAATCAACATGTGTCTGGAGAAAAGATTGGCAGCCAAACTTGTTCTCCGATTTTGTTAAATATGATCCTATCAAATAGATAACAATGTGGCTGATTGTGATTTGAATATAATCAGATCATATTTCTAGCCCCTATTTAAGATGCAGTTGCAGGAAGGAAGGATGTGTTTTGCATAGGGATACATTCATGAAGCCAAAACACTTTGCTGGAGGTTACTGAATATCTCTTTTGTTTGCAACCAACCATAATGATGATCTGATGGGTCAGCAACATCCTTAACTTCACTGCTCTGAACAGATATCCTACTGAATGTCTTCTTGGCCATCGCTGTAGATAATCTGGCAGACGCTGAGAGCCTGACATCCGCCCAGAAAGAAGAGGAAGAGGAGAAGGAGAGGAAAAAGCTAGCCAGGTAAACGGAAAGAGAAAGAAAGACACGACAGTTGGTTGATGAAAGAAAAGGGGAAAAGAAAACATTTTTGTGTCTGACCAACACCAATGAAAACTGCTAGGGGGAGAGAGGGAGTCAGAGAGTTTGGCCTATCTCAACGGCATCAAGGGAGAGCTTAATCTTACAGCATCCTGGATAGTCAGGAATGCCCAGAGCCAATTAAGGATGCTGAGCACTGGAATCAAAGCATTAAAAATGCTTAACAATTAGAACATGAACTATTAGGTTTTTAAGACAGGCTGACTTGCCTGCTTTTCTGTCTATACCAATTTTATTGTATAATTTTAGAATCTCAATGATAATAAACTAATAAAGGTTATTTGTCAGCACTGGTTATGTAAGATTTTAGTGGCACAAATCGTTAAATTTCTCCTTCTTGGTTCCAACCTGTATTGATCTGGGGGGGAAAGTGTGATGGAAAACAGCCGTTTCCAGGCCCACTAACCTTTTGGTTTGATTTTAACAGCACAGCCACCCCCTGTGATTGAAATACACCCCATTATCAGTCTGTTTTGGCCATCTGATGTTAATTTATATATGATTCAATACAAGTTAGTGGATTAACATGCGGCTAACACTGCTAGGATTAGGACAAGAAGAATGATGCTGAAGGTGAGGAACTTCTTTTCCTCCCTCTTTCTCCAGATTGGCCAGTCCAGAGAAGCGTCATAACAATGAGAAGCCGCCTCTGAAGGAGGAGAAGAAAGAGAAGATAGAGCTGAAGTCCATCACCTCTGATGGAGAGACCAACACTGCTACTAAGGTACACGTAGACACACACATATCAAGAAAGACTAAAGTGGCCACGAACTTCAATAAGCGCACAAGTGAGCAAGTAAGTGTGTTTGTAGTCAGAGAAATGAATGAAGTGGTAAATTAATGTAATGCTCTCTCTCAGCAGATTAACATGGATGAGTACTGTGGAGATGAGAGTGAAGAGAAGAACCCATATCCTGCCAATGATTACATAGGTAACACTCAAACCATATGTGTGAACTGTGTGTATGATGAAATGATTTGATGACTTAATAGTTGAATATGAGAACTGCCAGCAGCTATGAAGGTCCACGTGAAATTTTTAATAAATAATCTGAAAAAGTAGTTCTCATCCCATATACATACTTTTCATTTCTGACGTACAGTGTTTTCTACTAGGTAGATATTTTCGAAAACTTGGTATTACCAACATGTGAATACACAGGGCTGCTTAGGAACCGTGTTTTAATTTATTATTTAATTTCAGTGTCAACACGGTGCAGTTTTTCCTTTGTGTGACCTACTGCTAAGGCACCTATACTTAGAGACGCCATTTTTCCTACTTTTTTTCATTTTGTTTCCTCTCCTGTACTTTCTGCTTTTCTCCTCTTACATGTACTCTCACTACTATCCTTCTCCTCACTCTCATCAGGGGACGATGATGAGGATGAGCCAGAGATGCCAGTGGGCCCGAGGCCTCGGCCACTTTCCGACATTCAGTTGAAGGAAAAAGCCATTCCCATGCCTGAGGCCCGTGCTTTCTTCATCTTCAGCCACACCAACAAGTAAGAGGACACTATAGTTCCGCCTTCTGGCTACTTTGCTTTTTTTCCGATCTCGGCCGGTTTCTCCCTGTATTTTTCCATCCTCTTTATCTCTGCATGTTGTGATCATTTAACATTTTTCTATTATTTTTAAAACAAGAGACTCAAACATGATTCTCTCACTCTCTCTCTTAGATTCAGAGTTCTGTGCCATAAGATCGTCAACCACAACATCTTTACCAACCTCATCCTCTTCTTCATCCTGCTCAGCAGCATCAGTCTGGCAGCAGAGGACCCAGTCAAGAATGACTCCTTCAGAAACCAGGTAACACACAATAAAGAAAAAGCATGTAATAAAGTGTAAATACAGTATATACATATAAAAGAATGGATATACATTAAGGTACAGGCAGAAGCAAACATAGTCATCATTAGTTGCCCACACGCACTAATTCTGTATTAAATGGATTATAGCCGACAGCAACATATAGAGGAACCAAAGCTTATTGTGACTGGCCTGTTACACTTAAGGAGATTTCTGTACTGAGTACTGCTGCTGTGATTAACTTCATGTTAAGAACCTGTGATCTATATTAAGCTTTGTTTTGTCAATTTAATTATTTCTTTTACTTTTTTTGCAAGGCTGGAAACTTAACATTATAGTGTTTGTAATTTACACATACAGCAAAACATATGGTTAAAATACATATAGCGGTGTCGGTTAGCGCACTCAGTAAAGCATGCACACCATGTACCGGGCCTTTGAGTCCTTAACGCAGTGGCCTGGGTTTGAATGTGACCCGCGGCTCATTTGCTGCAAGGCTTACCCTCTCTCTCTCTCTCTCTCTCTCTCCCGCATTTCCTGTCTATCTTCAGCTGTTCTATCCTCAATAAAGGCAAAAATTACTCAAAAAGAAAAAAACATGATAGCCCTCAGGTTTTTTTTGTTAACCCTCATTTAACCAAGAAAGTGTGTTAATAGTTCAGTGTTAGTTACACACGTGTCTCTGGGTTCCAAGTTCAAAGTATAAGAAATGTCATTTATTAATTTGCACGCAACCGCAGACACTGTATATTCAGCCTTAAGCCAAACTCTAAAACCCTAAAACATGTACTATTTGTATTTATGAAGGACATATATGCACTGTAGTTGTATACACTAATAGAACATCACCATACTGTTTATATATTAGTGTTGTTTAGTGTTTATGGGTGTAATTTCTGAGCTGTAGTCTAATGTAAAGACTGGGCACAGTGTGTGCTGAATCTGTTTTTGTTTATTGTTTTTTTTCTCAGTGAGCAAGACAAACCCCTAATCAATTATTGTATTTTCCTTGGCTATGGTATAGGCTGCTGTACCTCAGTTAAGCTCAGTCTAAAACCTTAATGAAATAATAAGTCCTGTTTTTTTTCAGATTCTGCTCTGTTTTCAAAGTCTATTTAAGTCAAATAGGAATTCATTATCATTAGACCTGAAGCTCAGTATTATTATTTCAGTATGTTGTGGAGTCATCCAGGACTATGCTACAATTAAGACCATAAGTTCAGCCTTAACCCCTGAAGAACTGCACTTCCTGCGATGTGTGTAAAACAATCCTTTTAAGTCTAGACCTAGAAAGAGTTGTATTGTTACTGGTGAACCCTAAAAAGTGAGTGAGTGTGAGTTAGGTTTTGATGGTTGGTAAATTTCTTCAGCCTTGTTCTCCAAAATGCTGTGCAACCTTGGTTCAGTTTTGTCACAGTTCACTGTTATAGTAAATACAACTGATAACACAATTCTTTTGTGTCAGCTAGTCGTTGCATATTGGGTAGGAAATGGAGCGTTGTTGTCAGTCTCAGGAGTACTGTTGTGTAGTGTACATTAGACTAAAAGAATCATGGAAATACTGTCTCTAAACTGATGATGATCTTTGATGTTATATTTTCAGATCCTGGGCTATGCAGACCATGTCTTTACTGGACTCTTCACCATAGAGATAATTCTTAAGGTAGTATTCCATGTGTTTGATGTAAGATAAGTGGGCTATATAATCTGTAAATGCTACAGTATGAATTTGCGATACTTCTACGCGGTCTGGCTGCTGATATTTAGCAATGCTGCAGACAAACAACGGTTGACATTTGTAGTAACCAGGTTGATGTGCCTAGTGAGAAGGCTTTACTGCATCAGGACAACAGAAATGTAGAGAACTGACTTTCAAAGAACTTTAAGAATGTGTACTCGGCAGTAAGCCCTTCTTTAAAGAAAGTTAAAACAAAGACCAGCTAGTTGCAGACACATATAATCCATGCTCAGTGTTAAAGGTAAGACAGTCAATATCACTGCCCTCTACATGGTTCATCATACTAAGCTGTTATTTGATCCTTCTTTATTTGATTTTAAAATATGAACTTCGACCCCCACAGATGACAGCCTATGGAGCCTTCGTCCATAAAGGTTCATTCTGTAGAAACTATTTCAATATCCTGGACCTGGTGGTGGTTAGTGTGTCCCTCATCTCCTCTGGAATACAGTGAGTGCAGTAAAATGGGTTTTTTTGATGAAAGTTTTTTACTGTTGTCCCATTGTAATTGGTACTTGAATCGTCTACTGCTTTAGCATTTTAATCAAAGTGTTGTGCTCCTTGAAATGCTGTAATTTCTCTGATGTTTAATATGCTATACTACACTCTCTGTCTCTAATTCTTAATAGACTAGACTTCTCGACGTAAGTCCATATTAGTCCATATTAATAACCCCTCTTAACAGACCTTCACCTTAACTGTGTGAACCTGTCACTCTTTTGATTTGCTATTTCTATGGTCTTGGGGAGTTTAGTTGAAGCCTCCTTCAGAACAAGAGAAAAGAAAACCAAGACTGTAATCAAGACTGCATAGTTTAGTGAGATTCTACTGTATTGATAATTAATGGATGATTTGTAACACATGGTATGCTTTTGCTTTTGTGCTGTAGTCACCTTTATGTCAAGTAAATGTTTGTTTATCTATTCTTCAGGTTAAAATCTCTTGTCATATTTGTGGATAAACTGAACTCTCCCAGGCTATATAAATGACACCTGAATGCTAAAAGTTGTTTTTGCCTGTTAAAAGTAGTTTGTGTGTGGGATATATCTTGAATACATCACAGTCAAATTCATTGTGATGCTGCTGCATTTAATAGTGTCTATAAACTGCCTTTTACTGCAGTATCAGTATATACTGTACGTTTCCTTTGATACTGTTTTGCTATTATTATTATCTCATTATTCAATAATGAAGTATCTCTCTGTGGATATCTTTCTTGCCATGTTTCCATTTAAGTATCTGTGGGCATTGAAGTAAAACTTAAAAAATCAGAGTAGAAATGGCAAAACTTTATAAGGAGATTAGTAATTTCATATGCAAATGAAAACCAGTCCTAAAACAAATCACACCGTATCTAAAACATCTGATGTTTCTGCTGTCATCCTGTATAGTCTCATAATATTTTGTGTGGACAGCATGATATATGACCAACATTATTTCACATGAAAGAACTATGGCAGTGTGGCCGATGTTTTACAATTAATGAAGACCACTTATCTCTGAACAGAAACAGTATTTTTGCTCTCTGAGAAAACTAGTTAGAATCAGGCTGTTTGCAAATTGTGTAAAAGGTTCATCATTCCCAGTCAACTGAAGCACAACTACGTACATTTCTTTTACATTTTGCACCATATAAAAAGTTTAAATTTCAGTTGACATGAGTAGGAATTGTTATATCACTAGGCGATATCACAGCTGATTTGACTGTGATATGTTACTAATAATCCTACTCCACATGAACTACCTTTAACTGCCTTTAAACTGTACCTTCCTTTGTAAAAAGTTGCACAACGGGTATTTTCCTTGCTTTCTGTTTTAAAAGTCAACACAGAGTAATGTCACTCCCTGTAAACTACTCCTTTAACCATCTAAAATGTCACTCCCTTAAAAGGATACATTGACATTTTGAATACACTTTTTCCTTTCATTCTTTCTTTCTTTGTTACACTATGGGAAAAGGTGTTTGTATTTGTTCTTCAGTTAACTGAATAACTTGCCTATCAGCTTTCTAAACTAAATTATTAGTAAAAGACACTGGCAAGCTAGATTTTTAGTATGTTTGATATCTGTTGACATCAAGTAGTTATAATTACACTCGGAGACCCTAGTTCAGATTACCGAAGGACCAATTTTAAGCTTTATTGTTAAATTCAAAATGTCAAGGTATTCATTAGGTATTCACTTCCTTTAAAAGGTCACACTGTTTGACCTTTGGTTTGTACTGACACTTTCTTACAGCACAATAACTCTCTGTTTGCCTGTAAATGGCTGTTTGTGTCTTTGTGTTGGTCTGTCTGTGGTGTACTTGTGTGTGTCTATCCATGTTTGTCCATGTTTGTGTGTGTCGTACTGTACTTAACATTGTAGGCAATTTATGTTAAAAAGGGAAACCATGCTGTCTACTCCCTATTTATAAAAAATTTATCAAGTATAGAGGGTATGCGTTGATGTCACTTCCCCTTCCGGAACACGCTGGACTGAGTGGCAAAACATCTGTTACCATGGCTGCGTTTAGCAAACCGGGAGTAAAGCAAGTCCAACGAAGGTTAAAGTCAAGGGCAACCTCATGAGGGACAAAACGTCTTCCAGTGTCTTCAACCAAGTCCAGTTGCCCTTTACTTTAACCTTCGTTGGATATCTATTACCTGGATGACTGAGAATCTTCATAGACATCGAGTAAAGCAAGTGATTATTAGCTCAAATTAAAGGCGGTCGGACTCGGCAGTAATCCTAACTGCTTACCAAAGAACCAGTGTTCCAGCTCTTTCCCATTTTAGATGTGTTTTTTCTGTTTTAGCTGATTCAAGCTAACGCTGCTGCTTGTCTTTCTGCCACTCAGTGAGCGTAACTGTGTTCTGTGACATCATGCGCATACCCTCTATAGTATGATCATTATTTTAGTAGTTAAAAAAACAGACTACAATCAGTTTTGTGTTTGACTTCTTGAGAAAAATGTGCAACTCTTCCAAGCCCCTGTTCAAAATCTGTGATATTTAACACAGCCTAATAGCATACAGTTTGTAAGTAATATGTTATGTAAACATATATTCTTGACTTTGCCCAGTTGAAGCCCAACTTTACTTATCCCTAGAGAGAATCATGGCTATTTTCATGCCTTATTTGTTTAAATATTTTTTAGGATTATTTTGTATCATACTTTGATACAGTTGGCTTCAGTTGGCCACTGTCCTTTAATTTCTTTACCTTATGCGTGCCCCCCCCCCCCCCCCCGTCACATTTTCTTTGACTCATGCTAAAGTTTGTGTTAACAATCTTAAATGCAGATACTATTGGAAGTGACCTAGGATGTGTGTTGTTCTAACTTTCCAAATATGTCGTAAGAGTTAAATGTGCGTTTAATCAGGTTGGTTGGGCGGCAGTTAAATCCCATGTGTGTTTCAGGTCCAGCGCAATTAACGTGGTGAAGATCCTGAGAGTTCTGCGAGTGCTCAGACCACTGAGGGCTATCAACAGAGCCAAGGGACTAAAGGTTAGAACACTCACACATATAAAAACACGTAATACACACATAATCCCCTCTTAACGAAAGACCCATGTACTCACTCTCATTTTTGGTGTGTTTTTCAGCATGTAGTTCAGTGCGTGTTTGTAGCCATCAGGACCATCGGCAACATTGTCATCGTCACTACGTTGCTCCAGTTCATGTTCGCCTGTATTGGAGTACAACTCTTTAAGGTAAAGAATTAAGGAGGGAAAGAAGAAGAGGCCTCCCTAGACCCGCAGGCCTCATAAATATCATCAGTGATAACCTTGTAATCTTTTTTCTTTTCTTTTTTTCCAATACTGAGTCCTAAATATCTATGTTTTTCATTAGGGCAAGTTCTTCTTCTGTTCCGACAGCTCTAAACAAACTCAGGCAGATTGCAGGTAAGAGATCTTTCCTGCACGCAAGCTTGTTAACTTTCTCTCATAGCTTAAGTGCTGGATTAAACACGTGAATATATATGTGTGTGTGTGTGTGTGTGTGTGTGTCTACTTGTATTTACAGAGGTTTCTACATTAAGTATAAGGACGGTGATGTGGGGAAGCCTGAGAGAGACCCGAGAAAGTGGGAGAACAGTGACTTTAACTTTGACGATGTCCTGCAAGGCATGATGGCTCTGTTTGCTGTGTCTACCTTTGAGGGCTGGCCAGGGTGTGTGTCAACATACAAACACAATACACATGTTTATTGACCTGCATATTATATGTATACTGTTTGATTGCTTTTTCAGCCATGCAGCAATGCCTGCCTACCAATCTCCACCTTCCTCCTTTCCTTTAATGAATCGCCCTGCTTCCCTGACCCCCTCCCCCAGGTTACTGTACCGAGCCATTGACTCTCACACTGAAGACGTCGGGCCCATCTACAACTACCGCGTGGTCATCTCCATCTTTTTCATAATCTACATCATCATCATTGCCTTCTTCATGATGAACATCTTCGTCGGTTTCGTCATCGTCACATTCCAGGAGCAAGGAGAACAAGAATATAAAAACTGTGAGCTGGACAAGAACCAGGTAGTGTTTGTGTTTTATATCAACTATTACTGAATTTCTGCACGCCTTTGTGTGCGTATAACTGCAGTTTTATGTATTTGTTTAGCAGCAAGATAGACATGAAGTATGACGTTTCAGGTTACAGTAGAAGGCAGAGTGGGACACGCTGTTCTGACTGAAGTGGGAATGTAACTTCATGTAACGTCATTCAGGAGGAACAAGGGAGAGGAAGTGTGAGCCAGGCAGTTGGGATGAGACATGGGAGAATCTGGAGAGGCTGAACGTGAGGTTTAGGGGCTGAACTACTTCAGGACTCTAGCCAGGAGTCAGCTGCAGCTATTCAGACAGAAGATGAGACTAAAGCTTAAAGAAGGATCTAGGCCAAGACGCTGCTGCTGTGTTTTCTGTGATCCATGTCTCAGCAAGAGCATGGAAAGGCACAGTGAGGATGGACGAGTAGTCGGGGGTGGAAGAGCTTTTTTAGACTGCCAAAAGACAATCCTACAACTTTTCCTCTATGATAGTCTAAATACAGTGAGGCAGAGTAATGAGGAATCACAGACGTACATCACCAGACAGAGGCTGAAGGCAAATGTCTGCGTTTTTGTGTGTGTAACAGCGGCAGTGTGTGGAGTATGCTTTGAAGGCACGTCCGCTGCGACGTTACATTCCCAAGAACCCCTACCAGTACAAGGTGTGGTATGTGGTCAACTCCACCTACTTTGAGTACCTGATGTTCACACTCATCCTTCTCAACACCATCTGTCTGGCCATGCAGGTGAGTCTCTCACACACATACACAAAATGGGGAATGGACAGTCAGGTCTTTAGACTACTACCGTAAAAAAAAAAAACTTTCTTTGTGGACATTAATGTTTGACATGACATTGTTTGTGTCTTTGCAGCATCATGGACAGACCAAAAATTTCAATGATGCCATGAACATCCTCAACATGCTCTTCACTGGACTCTTCACTGTGGAGATGATCCTTAAACTGATAGCCTTCAAACCCAGGGTAGGTCCACTTCTCTAGCTGCAGAAGAGAATAACATTCTTGTACAGTAGAGTAGATTAGAATTACAGTAGAAGACCATATCAAATAAATGTACAAATCTACTACTAACCAATGAATAGTTTAGAATAGAACAGTCAAATACATTTTAGGCATTGAATGACATTTATTGAAAACTGCTTACTCATGTTGAACGGTATATTCCTAATCCGCATGTAATTTCCTCCAGATGATAATTATGATATCATGGAATTAAAACATGATTAGTAGACTGCAAGGCGAGTTTGTTTGTACAGCACATTTCAACAACAAGGCAATTTAAGTGCTTTACATGTAACCTAAAAAGCAACATAGGGCAATATAAAACAACATTTAAATACAATTAAACAACAAATGAGTTAAATAATAAATAATAACAAGGTAAAACAGGACAGTAAAAGTTAAAGTTCAGTGGAAGATATCATTTTATTTAATAAAAGGCAGTGGGAAAAAGAAATCTGTCAAGCTTGTTGTACAAAAACTGAGCTTTTCAACAGACCTGCAGTTTTCTGGGATTTGTTCCAGATATTGGTGCATCAAAACTAAAAGCTACTTCTCCATGTTTAGCTTTGACTCTGGGGACAGAAAGCAGACCTGTCCCAGATGACCTGAGAGGTTTGGATGGTTCATAACGTAGCAGAAGATCAGAAATGTATTTTGGCCCTAAACCATTCAGTGCTTTATAAACCAATGGCAGTATTTTAAAATCACCTCTTTGACAGACAGGAAGCCAATGTGAAGACATCATGTGGTTTTTAATTTCACTGCTCCTTAGTTACCCTGCTGTTGTTGCTATGGAACTGTGTGGGTTTATTGGTCCAATCTTAGAACTTCCTGGTGCATCAGCTATTTAAACAGTAACAGATGGGGGAACGCTTCCCCCTATCACAGCAGGGTTAGTGGAAAACATAGTTTAATAGTATATTTATCCCTATTGGTGCACAGTACAGGTTGTAAATCAAAACATTATAAAGAGTTATAGAAAAAGTAACAAAAACAGATAAAGCCCTTGTACTTCAGCTGACTGACTGATTCGTTCATATACCCTCCAGCATACCTTGCAATAGTGCTACTGTCACCTTTACATACTCTGCTCATTTTAACCATTATAACCTAATTCAAACTTTTTAGTGTGTGAGGAATTAATTTTAACTTTGTTTTATTTTATACGTAAAGTTAATTGCTGGAAGTTAGTTGTTGGAATTAATGAATGTCATGCCACAGAAATGTCAGTATTTGGGAGCCAGGGTTTTCACACTACTAATTAAAACTTAATTCTTTTGTCTTTCCAATTAGCTCCAAAATCCAAATCATGCTCTACAAAATGTGTCTTTTTATTACGATAGATGTTTATCTTATAATAACTTTAAAATAATGATCTGCTCGGACCATTTAGTCTGCGTAACATGATTCATAGTATTTTCAGGCACAGGCAGCTCCAGTTGGAATTTGTCCCCTGACTGTGCAAGACAACTTTTAAGGCTTGGGAATTGACTTCATGCTGCTCTGCATTCTGCTAATGTAATGTTTACCTCAAGTAATGCTAAATTAATCTGCCAGATGTTTAAAAGCAGTTATGCAATTTTTTCTTATTAATTTAGTTTATATAATAACTTCAAGGGCAGCATGATGACATGTTCCCAAGCCTTGTTGATCAATGTTAATGAAAATAAATCAGTTATTTGTGTGTTTTTGAGTTGCAACTGTTGGATGTGCCTTGTTTTCATCGGTTTTCACTTCAATAAACTCTTCCTTTAAACAGTCGACACGCACAGGAGCAGCTTGCTAACACTTTTACTTCTCAGGTGATATAGTCTTCAACATGTGGAATCAGTCTCAGTAACATTTGCTCTGTATAGAAGATGTGTGCTAATGCATTTGAATTTTTTAACAGGTTTTACTGGCTATGCTTTCTTCTTCGGGGGAGATTCAGTCACATGGATTTTTTAAAATGTTTTTTTGTTTTGTTTTTGTACTGTGTTGTATAGTTATGAACATCTGAGCGCTAGTGTTAATTTTGTCAGCCATTTTAAAATTTAGTCCTAGTCTTAGTGCTGTGTCAAATGTTCTTGTTAGTTTTTATCATATTTAGTCCACTGTATAGGCTACTATTTTTTAATGAAGTTTTAGTTGACTAAAAGCCTGCGTATTTTAGTCTGATTTTAGTCAAAAGAAAATCAAAAGTATTTTAGTCTAGTTTTAGTCATTAACCATCATTTTAGTCTTTTCTAACTCATTACTATAATTTTGATTCGAATTTTGATCAATCTGTTCTAAAGAAAATAGAGATTTGATTCGAATTTTAGCTGTGTTCTCATTTTTATTGCAAAGGAGACATTAACTTACCTCAATTCCCAGGTGGTTAGCCTTGATATGCCTCTTCAAGTTCGTAGTGTTTTTTACAAAAATCTAATAACCACATCAGTGTGTGTGGTACATAGCTTTTCGGGGAACGCTTTTAAAAAAAAATTATAATAATAATAATTTTTATCATCATATGTAGCCATTTTGCAAAAATTACGCTTCACACAACAGCTGCAGCTGTGTTTGAGACCTGACCTTTCTTTTTTCCATGAGAGGGAAGAATTTTTGCGTGCCGCTGCGGGGAGCCCCGGTGATCATTCCCTCTGGCTGGATGAAGTCTGACGCTCAGCAAATATAGAGATCAATGGCAATAAAGCAAGCTGTCAATATTTTAGAGACCCCCCGAAATATCACAAATCATGCTTTTAGGGGAGCTGATATCTAAGCACCTCTTTCTCCCTAGCATGTTGTGTTCATCACCAGAGTTCACATCCTCCACAGTAACGTTTTCCTCATGCACCAGACGTCACACCGGTCGGCCAGCATTCAAAGCACAGGAAGAAAAAAAGCTGAATGAACACTGTTCAAGTGAAAATTTAGAGGGAGAAAATATGGTCTCCTCATTATACTGACAAAAAGAAAGAGAGATTTTATTAACATTTTTATTTTATGAATTACATTTTAGTCTCCTCATTTTTAGTCAACAGTATAGCATGTTAATATAGTCACAGTCAGCGTCTAAGGACATTATCGCCGTCTCGTCATCGTCTCGTTTTTGACATCTTGGCTGTCTCTACAAGTTCAGTTATACTAAAGTCATGTCTCTACATGAGAATATAACACAGTCTTTCTAAGATACAACTCCTTTTACAGTAGATATAGAATATTTTTATTTTACCAGCCTATATAATACTGTTTTGGCCTGAAGCTATGTGGATGTTTTTCATAAATATTCACTTTGCACGCAATAAGCTAAGTAAACAAAGTGGGCTTTCAGTATAATCGCTGCCACAGCATCACTGAATCGCTCCAAGATGCAGATGGGAGACTAAAGTAACTGCTATCTAACACGACTTCCTTAACAGACCAGGGAATTCAGCTGCTCTTGATGAACAGATACTGCAAGGGAAACAAGTTGATTCTGTTAATTATAATTAGAATTCTTTTATGTGTTGGGTCATCAGCTGATTATTTTCTGTTTCCTCAGTGTACTGTACAACCTCATACTACCTTAATAGGGCTGCGAAGTAGCAGCAGATGTTGTTTTCCTTCTAACCTACCTTTCTTACCCTCCCCCCTCCTCCTCCTCTTGCTCACCTCATCCTGTGTAGGGGTACTTTAGTGATCCCTGGAATGTGTTTGATTTCCTCATCGTAATTGGCAGCATAATAGACGTCATTCTCAGTGAGATCAACGTAAGTACGATGCCCAATCTCCCTCCTTGTCGCTCCCTCTTTCTCTCTGTCTTGTGCCCTCTTGCTTCTTCTCAATCTTTCATTCCCTGCCACTCTCCTTTCCTTTGTGTCTACTCTGTGTTGTGCTGTCTCTTCTCTTCATCTCTCTCCCTTCTTTCTCTGCCTTCTTCTTTCTCTTCGTTCTCCTGTTTCTTCTGTCCCTCCATCCTTAACTCCAAGATGGCCACTGCTACTCAGGGGACCCCCAACCACAAGGGTTCCTGAGCAAGAACGAGCTTTGTCCTGGGTTTCATAAAAAAAAGTAGAGGGAGCAGATGCAGGGTTTAGCTTTGAACGCAAAGGGTTTCTGTCTTGCGTCCTCTTTCCTTATTCCTTACAGTATCTGAGATGTTGTCTGGGTCTTTTTTTTTTTTTTTTACTTTTTGTCAGACTGTGACTTGTCCTCAGGTTTGATTCCCTCACTAACTGAACTAACTCACTGACCAATCTCAAGACTTACACATCTTTTCATTTTTTTAACTACAGCAACAGGGGCGTTTTTTAGTTGTGATTTTGTTGCAATATGTTCTTTACTGTTGTTGTTGTTGTTGTTGACATTTTCCTCTCATGGACAAGCATGACCGATCGCCGCTGCTCTTCCTCTGCTGTCCATCACTCTTAGACTGCCCCTTCTTTTCTTTTTTGCCGTTTAATTTTGTTGATTCTTTCCCTCTCTCCTACTAAAACTCCAATGCTCATGTATATAATGTTTTTATCTTATTTTTCTCCTCTCTCCTTTACTTTCTGTTCTTTCCATTTTTAAATGTCTTATGTTCTGTCCTTTTCTTCTGTTGTTTTTCTGTTCTTTCCACCCCTACGCAGCATTATTTTGTTGATGCATGGAACACATTTGATGCCTTGATAGTTGTGGGTAGCATTGTTGACATAGCGATCACTGAGGTTAACGTAAGTAGTCCAACTCCCTCCCTCCCTTCCTGCCTGCCTTGCTCTGCCATTCCCACACACACAAACAGGCCGACTGCCGATACCCATCTCGCATGCTTTCAAATGATGGAAATGGAAACTTCAGCTGCACCACATTTGAACTTAAGAGATGGCTGAAGTCAGTAAAAACAGCCAGATGTAGTGCATTCAAAACAACACAGTGCCCTCTGAAGGGTTTGTGTACGTATGAAACACAAAATATTCCGTTGTACTTTGACCCCTGAAATCTAAGTAATAATTTGGACATGGTCAGTTTGATTTATAATTAATGGCTGTTGGGGAGCTAACATCATCATTACAGATAATGCAAAATACTATCATTATTTTGTTAAAATTTAATGTTTGTAACAATGGAGACTGCAAAACAGCAGATTTCCTAACTTACTTATTCTCAATGTTCCCCTTCCCATGCCTGCACGTTTATCTTCAGCACAGTAATACGGCTGCAAGAAAAACTTTGTTTTCTCAGCTTTAATGTTATTTTGTATAGATTTTTTTATATTTGAAACTGCTTCAGATAGGTATTCATGCCTCGGTCTGCTGAGCATCAGCATCAAAATCTATTGCATTTACCTATAGAACCTATTGCATTGTCTCAGCACTTGGTTTGGTTTCACATTGGTTTTGTTTAGTCTTTTATCATTGCCACAGGGGATAGTGTCCATTCCCCTGGCATGATGGGCACTGTATAGCATGACAGATAAAAGGTGGTATATCCAGGCCTGGCACTGTATATAATGTTTGCAGAAAAGACCCACATTTCCGCAAAAGAAAGATTTTCTGGAAAGAAGGAATGAACACAGATTCTACAAAGATGTTTTCACAAAAGGTCATGAAACTCTATCAATTCAGAAATCACCAGGGAAATTTTTAATTGAAATGTGAAAAATACGAGTTACAGTTTTTAATTTTTTTGTACGACAATATTAATGCACAGACATTGGGAACAATTGGATCCATAAATGGATTTACTCAGGACCCATGAAATTTATGGAAATGTATGTATGAATTCATTTATTATCGACATGGAGGCCCTATAGTCAACAGTGGGGCTGAATAAGAATGAATATCCCAAACACAAGTCAAATGTTGAGTGTTTGTCGTATTTACATTTCAGAGATAATTGGTGTTTTATTCATGTGATATTCAAAGTGCTAGTTGGCAGGAGAATAGTTTGAGAACTGTGCTGGACAGAACTCCACTTCAGTTAGCCTTAGAAGAGGATACATTTGCTGTGAATGCTGATTTGCCAGAGAAGAAAATAATTTTGTGCTATGGTCAGACTGGCCAAAAAGCTGAATATCATATAACAAAACAAGTGAACTGTGAACAAGCTTATTTAAGATAGTCTAAACCTTAATTCCATCTGATGCCTCAGCGTCAGTCTGCTTTGCAACTTTGCATCTCTAGTAGCAAAAATGCAGTGAAAATTCCTCAGGGGACTAAATCATTCTGTGAATCATCTTCTAAATGCAGTACTTTATTGTTAAATGTAGGTTATTATTCCTTAATAACTGTGCCAGTTTTTAACTGCAAACTAAACCAAACAAGATTGATCCTTTAAAGAATTTGATATTTTTATCCACATCCACTAAGTCAATGTACATGGACGTAGAGTTACATCAATTATAGACACATTTTACTACATGGGGAGATATACGCTTTGCCTGCTGCTGGTTTGAGGACATGAAGATATGCCATGGGTAAACCGTATGTTCCCCCATGGTGAAATGCAGTGTGTTTCACCCAAGACAGCACTGGTCAGGCATACTAATAAGGTTAGTGTATCCCAGGGGTGTATGAGCTTGGCAGTTGTTTTTGTGCCTTTAGAAAGGGAATCCATTTGTCCCCATGAGAGGCTGACAAAGTTGCTTATAAACAACACTGGGTTATTTTCAAACTGTACTTGGATATTGTATGTTTTATTCAGTTATTCTATCTAGTTATCACAGGAATTTGATATCAGGGGGAATCACAAAACAAATCATAAATGTCTATGATCTGTTGTTGCCTTGCAGACAATGAATTTGTCTGACCTTGAAGCAAAGTATATTGTGTAGAAAGAGAGAGAAAAAAATACATACATAGACACTTAATAAAGCCTGACAGAGTGAAATATAACATTTCTTTCGGGAACAGACAATCTTTAACTACTGATCGATTAGCCACCTTGAAACTGAGATTAGTTGGGCCGGAGATATACATCTTTGTCATCTATACAAGTCACTGATGTTGCACTTAACACTTTGGTTTGGAGTTTGCCTTTGATTTGGTTTGATTGATTTGGTTGATTGGTTTGCAGTTCTTTCTGAATGATTAATTTTTTTTCCTCTCTCACCCCTAACCTAAAGGCATGCCCCAAGTCTTTTTTTTTTCTTCATTTTACTTCTTCTTCTCTGGTGGTTTTTAATGATTTGGGTGTTAAGATGCCCAAGCTACCTTTTCTATTTTTTTCTTTTTTAAGAAACCCTCCGCACTTCAATCCTGTGAGAACTCTTGACTCTTTTTGAACTGGGACCCTGTCACTCATACATTTTAGATTTTAGCCTGCTACTGCATTTCATCAGGCACTAAAGCACAAGTGAATGCTATTTAATGTACTGAGCAATGCAATTCTAAACTAATAGTAGCAGCTTGCCAACAACTAACTCTCATTCATTGCATTCCTAAGTACATAGTGAAGTGCAGTCACAGGCCAGCTTTTAAAATGTTCACTTGGCCTTTAGTAAATATTAAATGGCCAAAATATCTTGTTTGAGTGCACCCGCTTCGCTGCCTGTTGGGTGCTTGTTGACTTAGATTAGCTGCACTTTTGTGGTCTTCAAATCGGAATACTTTTTTTAATCTTGGGTCTCTAATTCTCCCCAGCAACCTGCGGGTGCTTCTTAAATCTTACATGGTTTCTTTTAAGTTTTTGGTTTATGGTTTGAGTAGAAGTAGTGTGAACAGATTGGTAGTGGTTTGCTCTGAGCGGTGTCTTGCAGACGATACCAGTATGGACTGCATCTATTTTCTCTTTTTTCTTTCTCTATATTCGGAATGCCTCCTCCTCTCCTCTCCATCTCTCTCCTTCTCTTTCTGAGCTTTTTTCAGTTCACTTAACTCTTCTTTTATGGATGTTTATCTCTCTCTTACTCTGTCTTCTTTCTCGTTGGTTTGCAGTGCTGCTTGCTCACTGGAAATGCAAGCTGGGTAACATGGGTCTCTCATACTTTTCATATACCCTAAGAGGGTCAACAAATTATCTGCTACATTTAAAAAAAAATGATTCTGATATGAGTTTGTTGTGTATTTTTAATCCCAGCACATTAAAATGAAATGGAAATGCACTTTTATCTTGCAGTATTACAATTTACAATATATGGATCAAAAGTAAAACGGTGTATAAACCCCAAATCAAGGGTAAGAATGTTCTCGAGAAACCCATGTGACCTACTGAACTGATTGAACTGATGACATTTTTGCTCGAGAACATGACATGTAATGTGAGAAGACAGCTCGTTAATTTTAAATGAGCACATAAATTTGATGAGCTGCAACTACAGTAACTCACATCTGCACTGTAGCCTGAAAAGACCTTTTGGTTAAAATAACACCCCATGCACAAATCCTCCAGGGCCACAAGTCCGCTGTAGTCTCTGTAATTTGTTTTGTGTCACAAATGAGAAATATAGTAATGAGGAATGTTTTTAGTTTAATCTAATTCTGGTTCACAGCTTTGATTTTATATATATATTTAAATTATGCTTAAATTGACCTGGCCATTTGTGTAATTCACCCTCACACACACACACACACACACACACACACACACACACACACACACATACACAGACAAACTCACATTCTCTCATATTTCAGTTTTAACTTAGTCTGCACTAAGTGTGAATCAGTCCCATCTTACCTCCATGTGTCCTTCCTTCCTTCCATCCGTCTCTCCGTCCTGCCCATCTTTTCCAAATCATCCTTGTCACCCTTATATCCATCACTCTTCCCTTCCCTTCGTCCTGCAGTTGTTCTTCCTTCCAGCTTTCATCCCTTCGCACCATAATGCCTCAGATCCTCTGATTACACATGTACACCAATACATATCCTCTCTTCACTCACTTTTTCTCAATCACATTGTTAACATTTTGACAGCAAGAAATAATTAGTGTCCTCATGGCTAGCCAATTATAACATACATACATGCTTGTAATACAAGTTTGTAAGTATCAATAGTAACCTATTATTCTGTGTACATCATTATTGTATTTGATCATTAAGTTGTGTGTATGGCTCTGTTAGAATTCCTTTAAATGCTTAATTCCGTCTTTCCTTCCTTCATTCTTCTCTCGCTATATTCTCACCCTCTGTCCTTTATTTCCTTGTTTGCTTTCCTTCCTTTACTCCCATTTCCCTGATTCCCTAATCCACATTTCCTTGCAATTTTTACTCCCAAATCCCTTCCACTTCTTTCTCTTTTGTTGCTTTTTTCTGACTTTTCTTCTCTCTCTTGCCTCTTCCTTCCTTCAAGCATAATCTTACCTGCTCAGGCCTTTCTTTATTCCAGTTTGGGAATAATGAAGCATTATTTTGTGGTAAGGTATGTTAACAGAGCCAATACCAAAGCAGAGCAAACAGCTCCCGAGTCATAGATTGAACTATTAGTTAATCTATCACTCTAAGCACTTTAAAATGTTGCAGTACAAGGGACGACCAGTGAGTGTCTCCCTACAATATGTTATCTTTGTGCCTCTAAGTGTTATGTTAATAATTGTGAGCTCCAATTTCCAAAAGTATCTAAAATCATCTGTGTCAGCAGTGGAATTGACTGAGATGATTTTAAATTTACTGTGGTATTCAAATGCCTCTACCTGAAAGTAGATTAAAGTTGTGGTCTGGTTAATTAAGAATTACTGGATCACAAACAAAGTTACTTTACTTTTAATTTTACAAGGTCCAAACCTCTCGCTTGGGTCTTGACTATTTTCAGGTCAAAGAACGGCTTGAATAACACACATTCAATGAAGGCATTATCCATTAATGCCAGGATGAATTTGGTAAACATAGCCTGAGTTAAGCTGAAGCCTCAACCACTGTTACTGTACTGTAGTTCAGCTGGTAGAAAGAAAAACAGATAGCTACAGAGGCGCCCCTCTATCCCCCACCATACATATAAACACATGGGCTCACATGACAAAGGCTATTTTGAAAATAGACACATACACAACCAGCTCTTTCTCAAGGCGTTAGACAGCAATTTCCAAAATATGTTACACTTCCTACATGTTTCAATCTTCTAGTACTGTTATGAGAAGTGATTTAGCCTGATGTGGCCCTCACAGAAGATGGGGCCAGTCTCTATATGCAGTAATATTTTACAGAATACTCCCACCTGGCCCATATTAAATTAATATTTTTTCACTTTTCCACCTGCACGTGAAGTTTGATCAGAGAGTCAACCCTCACTAGCTTGGTGTTTTTTGAGTTATTTTTTGTCTGGGCTGGTGCAAGATCCTCACTACTTTTCAGATTGAAACAGACACACACACACACACACACACACACTCTGTATGTGCACAGTTACAATCACACACACCAAGGCGCTGCTCTGGTGCTGATCTTTGTTGCCTTTCCTTAAAGCCAGCTGACTCCTCCTCGTCCTCGTCCTCCTCCTCTTCGTCCTCCTCCTCCTCCTCTTCCTCCTCTCACCCCCCTGTGGTAAGGCCAATGGTACGCTCCGACGGTAACCTCGTCCGCCTCCCTACCTCCTCCACCATCCCTCCATCCTTCCATCCTTCCATCCCTCCTCCTGCTACGCCAACCATGGTATGATCCAAAACTTTTGGCTTTTCATTCGTCCTGTCGTCTCTCCTCTGTCGCTTCCACTGCCATCTTCTGCAGCATGTCCAGAGTTATATTTATGTAGTTGTTGTTTGTACTTTTACATGTTTATATATGTGTGTGTATGGAGAGGGGCACTGTATTGTGCAGCCCTGGTATAACTGGAGCCTTGTGACTTTCCTTGAGTGGCTATTGTTGTTGCCATGATGCCCACTGCCCACCCACACCCACCCCTTCCCCAATGGCTTGCAACTTGGTCTTTCTTCCCTTATGGGTGTGGTATCTTTAGTGCTTCGACATCAGTGCAAGCCATCATGGTCACATTATCACGCTGTCTTTTTTTCTGTCACTTTACTCCACTGGCCTGCCATCTAGCAATCAATCAATCAATCAATCAATCTATCTATCTATCTATCTATCTATCTATCTATCTATCTATCTATCTATCTCTATCTATCTATCTATCTATCTATCTATGTGGATGTCCCTGAATAATTCCAACTATTCATATTCAGACTCCCTCGCGCTCTCTCTCTCTCTCTCTCTCTCTCTCTCTCTCTCTCTCTCTCTGTTACACCTACTGTCACTGTACCTTTCCCGCTCACTGCCCCCCTCTCTCAATGGTGCAATAATCCCCACTGTGGTCCAGTTGTGGTATTACATGCAGTACGGACTTTTGACTTACATTCCTCAGAAGGATATGTCATTTTCAGCATATCTGTCAGTGGGGTTTGGGACAGCTCATGTCTTGGGTTACTTGTCAACAGTGTCACCAGAAAAGTGTGACATGTACTCTTAGAATGTACTGCTCCCAGTTATAGAATAATAATCAGTGTGAGGAACTTTCCAATCTTTGATTTCTACAGAACATTTTAGAAACAAGATCAGTTATTTCTCTGAACACAACTATTATGTTGAAAAGTAACATATGACATCTGTTATCCCAAACTGCAGTAGGATGTGTGGATAATGGCAAGTTCTTTTTAGGAGCACACTGTATTTTCTCTGTGGGATTACCATAAAGAATTGATGGCCTCTTGGAAAAACACAAATGGCATGAAACAGATTTAAAGGTCAGATAGGCTGATCTGGTGTTGTTAGGGTCCCATGTAGTTATTACAATGAAGACAGATGTAGTATGTCGCTGCTGTGGTTGTTATGTAGTCAAGTTTATTCTATGCATACTGGTACATTTTTTGACAAATTTGAAAATTGTTACTGCTGTTATGGTTACTGATGGTTTGGTATTTGCATAACTAGTAACTTTGGCTTTACTTGATTCATCTGCTGTTTGTGTTATAATTGTGAATAGTATACTGGCTCCTGAGTACCTGTATTATCTGCATCATGCTTTACACATGGTGTACACATGATGTTGCCGTTGTTTTCCTTCTTTCTGTCCCAGAGAATGAGCAGCAGCAGCAGCAGTATAAATAAATAAATCTGTATTAGAATAGCACTCAGCCAGATGGCTGAATATTTCATCATGGAGTTGTTTCCTCTGGATGAGTACCGGGACAACAGACAGTTAGAATGTTGAATGAATGTCAAATTTCCAAAGTATACCAAATAATGGATTGCTTAAATTCTTTGAGAGGAAAAATATTGCATGAGGCAGAGTTTCTAGAAGATTGTAGTAAACAAAAAGTAAAGATGAAGACATTTGCCACCTGTGAAAATATTGTTGTTTTACCTGGCAGTGCTGCATTGGGCAGTAATACCTTTATCCACTTGAATGTCCTCTTTGGATTGTTTCTCCCGGTGGCCAGTTGCTCAATGACAGACAAACAATTAGCCTGCCTGCATGATTTATTGAAACAGGAATGTGCCCGCAGGGTAGAATTTTTGTACTGTATCTGTTGTGAATTGATATCAGTGATTTATGAAAGCGCTTACCTCCATCGATAGAAATTTCTCTGGCCTGGTCTCAGCAATTAGAATTTGAGTCTATACCAGTGCAGGATATCCGAACCTTTCAGCTTAGTAGGATGATTTACATCAGGGGCAAGGATTTTAATGCTTTTTTGTCCAATGTCATCGCAAGGCTGGGCTTACCTGTAATTGGTTATAGAAACAACATCAAGGAGTGCGTTCTTCACCTTGATTACGACAGCACTGATGTGGTAGAAGTATAGAAGCAGATTGTTGTGATTGAGGAACCAGCAATATCAGTAAAGAATAATGGAGTCATTTTTAGTTTTGCCTTTAAGATCAGTAAGGTGCCTTTAAAGGCTGTTAACTGCAAAGTAACTTTGATTTGTTTAATTGCACAGTTGAACAGATCTGTTATGTAAAGAGAAGTTGAAGCAGGTGTATTTAGGAAGCTGATGGATGGTATAAGAATCTCTTTGTTGCCAATTGATTTTTCCATGAAGCCAGAAAAATAAGCATGATTGCCCGATTCTCTCCCAGATCTATTTGTCAGTTGATTTTGATGGGATTTTGTAGGACGCATATTTCCATTTTATTAACTCTGTGCGTGTGTGTGTGTGTGTGTGTGTGTGTGTGTGCGTGCGTGTGTGCGTTATGCTATTGCTATACATATTTACATCCGCATATATTTGTGGGTGGGAATATGCATACAATTGTTACTTGTTGTCTGTATTTCTGCATTTGTCTGTGCATGCATGTGTGTATGTTTGTATGATCATCTTTACCTATGTGTGTGTGTATGTGTGTATGTGTGTGTGTCTGTTTCCCTCCCTTACCTATCTGCATGTGTACCCATGCGTCCTGTGTTTTTTCAAAAAAAAAAAACACCAAACCCCACCAAAAGGGACTGCAGAACTCTGAAGAGAACGCCAGGATCTCCATCACCTTCTTCCGGCTGTTCCGCGTGATGAGGCTGGTGAAGCTGCTGTCTCGCGGGGAAGGGATTCGGACCCTGCTGTGGACCTTCATCAAATCCTTCCAAGTGAGGGGAGAACCGGACACAACATGCTAGAGCAGGGGGCTGGGTTTACACAGGATGGAAAGTGGCACTTTAGCCCTACTGCGACTAAGATTGAAGCCCTTTTTGGAAGCCATAGTACTATTTTAACTACATTTCACTTTTACCAGCAAAGAGCTTACAACAAATTTTGCGATCCAAACTTAGCATAGTGATTCTTAAGGGTTAAGTAGGTTCATACTTATTTACAGTCAACATGTTGCTTAATTAATCCAGAATAGACTCATTTAATGTTATTAATGTTATTAATCTGTGAAATTCATCTTGGATTTCAGGTCTGAGTCACATGGGGATAAAAATATCCTTGTTCTTGTGTAAATCCAGCCTGGTGGTGTCTCACAAGCCACCTTTCCTTTCCTTGCCTCCTCCCTCCTCGTCTCCACCTCCTATTTTTTAAGAAGTCAGATGGGTGGGATGTCGGACAGTTTAGTCTAGATGGGGAAGGAGGAAAAGAAAGAGGGACGGTGTGAGGTAACGGAGAGGAGGTTTAGGAGGCTTGCTGCAGAGGTAGGGAGGGATGTAGGGACATAAATCTGGGAAACAGGAAGGAACTCAAGAACCTTAACCAGCAATCTCTTTCCTACTCTTTCCTACTCATCTCTCTTCTTCTTCTTCCTCTACTTCTTCTTCTACTCCCTTTTCCCTCCAACACCCTACTACTAACCCCTTAAAGCTCACCATTCCCTGTAAGCGGGTTAAGCAGTAGATAAGTTTAAAGAAAGCACTCCACCAAAAAATGAAATCATTTGATAGAGAATTACGGGGAAATTAAAATAATCTGTTCTCTCTCTTGTGTTAGCTGAGACGGGCCACTTCATGTAACATTACAGTTACTGAAATTCAAAACATTGATGATACAGCAAAAAACAGACTCATGGTGTTTAAAATCAGCAGTGGTCATGGATATATTTCTGTACTTAACACTGTAGGCTTTGCAAAGCTTATTGTACCCTTTTTCTTTTGTCCGTGGATTACATATTGACGCATAATCAAACTTTTTTCATTTATTCGTCATGATTTGGCCCTACTCTCCAAGGCACAGGGGTGATGTTAGCCAGGAGCTCAGTACCACACAGTTGCCCAGGTGTGTAAATATAGAAGACATACCTGTTCTGGCCATTGTTTGGTTCATGCACTACACGTTGGGACTGGTCTCCTGGCTAAACTCAGAGAGTAGTTTGTATTTTACTGAGGTTTTTCATTCTGAAGTCAGATGATTTGTTCTGGATTGTTTTTGGTGTTGTGCCACACAGAGCTGTAGATCAGTTCACTTTCATTTACAAAGCAGCAGTACATTTTTCATATTGCACCTGCTCATTTGAAAAACAAGAAAATTTGAACTTTAAAATAACTTGGCGTTAATCAACCCTTTTTAACAATAATTTTCTAAATCAGTTATAGACTAATTAGATGTGTGAGATTTGATGAAAGTGAATGGTCTCCAGCCTTGGTGCAGGATTATGCTGTCGACAACTTGTCACTGATGTGTCTCTCTCCTCTTTAGGCACTGCCCTACGTAGCTCTGCTTATAGTGATGCTATTCTTCATATACGCTGTCATCGGTATGCAGGTAAGCTGTTGTCCTGTCGCCTTGTTTCCCTCCCTCTGTCGTGTTTTCTTCTCTCTCGTCCTTTCCTCTAGCTGGCCTCCGTCCTGTGTCTGTCTTCCAGGAGTCTTGTCAGCCAGAGTTCCTGTTCCTTCACGTCGTCCTTCTCCACTCCACTTTTCTTCCTTCTCCAGCTGTTGCCAGTCTTTGTCTCTCCTCTTCCTCTCTCCATGTGTCCTTCTATCTATAAGATGTTTGTATCACTGATGATTAGAGGGAAACACTTTTGATTTGATTTTCTGGGGACAGCTGGCCTCTAATTTTGATTGTCTCAGAGAGCAAACACTTCCTCCTGTCAATGCTGACATCATATCCTGTGTGCTGTAACTACTTCCTCCCCTCCTGTGCAGATGTTTGGTAAGATAGCACTGCAGGACAACACGCAGATCAACAGGAACAACAATTTCCAGACATTCCCTCAGGCAGTGCTGCTGCTCTTCAGGTGAGGAAGATGACTATGCTCCTCATCCTCTTTCTGTTGTACTTTCTTTTTCTCTGTGATATTTCTCCTTCTTCTCATTTCTAATATCTCCCCTTTCTTCATGGATTTAAAATCAAAATCTTCTGCTCTTTCTGCATTATCATGCTGCACTTCTTCTTCTCCCTCCCTCCATCCTTTACTTCTGTAATGTCACATCAACAACAATAACCGTTCTTTTTCCTGTTTTAATCTTCTATATTTTCTCTCTTCCATATATTCTGAAAAGCATATTACATTAGAGGTTACCTCTGACATTTTATGACAGCAGTGGGTTAATTAAATTCCAGGATATCTGTAAATGTAAAGCTGTAAATTCAGCCCGCCAATGTGGGAAAATGTTTTGTCAGTACTATGTGACCATATTACTGCCACTGTGACAAGAGTTAAAAAGTTGCTTAGCAGCTTAAACAGCATCCAGACTCAATCTGCACACCTGTATGCCCAGTAGTTAGCTGATAATTGTCTGGTCCACTGAGGAGGACACCTTCTTCGATTGTCAGAAGACTGATCATACTTTTAAACAGCATGGATCCAGTCTCAGACAATTCTCTCTCCTGTGTGGTTGCGAAGATGGTAAGATTCCATGGAGGGGACAAAAACCATAGAAACTGAAAGGATGGCTCACATTCTATGTATTTGTAAGTATGTTGCCATCAAAACATGAAAAGCATCTTTTCTATTTGTTCATATTCTATGGACTGACCCCTTCATGAAATATATCATAGCAAAAGGCTTCCATTCAGAGAGACAGCATACTTGAATACTTCATACTGCTGTGTAATTTAAATCCAAACAAACAGTCAACACTTGATAAATAGTGTTAGAAGAGTTAAAAATCTTTATAGTACTGAAGTATTCAGAATGGAAGATAATTGTAGTTTGGAAAACTATCTAGAGTTCAACAAACTCAAATATGCTGTTGCTCTTTAGGTTCAGTGCATCAGAATGTAATTAAAATTTTGCTCTTTATGGTGTTCACACTAACACTGTGTGTGTGTGTGTGTGTGTGTGTGTGTGTGTGTGTGTGTGTGTTTGTCTTTATGTTTGTATGTGTCTGCCTCTCTTAATTTGTATCTATGTGCGTGTTTGTCACTATATGCTTGTGTGCCTGTATGCATACATGCACACATCCATGTGTCTGTATGTGTGTGTTTATGCATAAATGCACATGTGACTTCATGCTGGTGCATGTGTGTGTGCAACTATGTGTTTCCATGTATCTGTATATGTTATCTTTGCATGTATATCGGCGTCAACGTGTGTGCATATTTGTGTGGGTGTGTGTGCACATGTCCATGTATCAGATGTGCAACAGGTGAGGCATGGCAGGAGATCATGCTGGCATGCTCGCCCAAACGGCCGTGTGAGAAAGGATCAACCAATGAGAACAACACATCCAGCGAGGACTGTGGCAGCCAGTTTGCCATCATTTACTTTGTCAGCTTCTATATGCTCTGTGCCTTTCTGGTGAGTAAAGTGACAGAAATAGATCTATTTTAATTTTTAAAATGTTCCTCTTTAAAACAGATTGAAAGAGAATATTTGATAAGATTAGAGTTATTCTATAAATAATTACAGTTAGAGAAGGTGGAAGAAACACACTTCTAGACAATTAGAAATATTATCAAAATATCAAATAGTTCATAGATCTTAATTCTTGCTAATTATTTTATGAATCAAGCTAAGCAGTAGTTGCATATTATGTGAGTTAAAAGAAATAGTTTGACATTTTGGGAAATATACTTATTTGCCTTCTTGCTGAGAGTAAAATGAGAAGTTTGATAGCATTATCATAGCAACCCAACAGCTATCAGGTGGTTGGTTTAGCACAAAAAGTCCAAAAATGACATGTTGTGGTTTTACAGACTATTTCTTACTTGGGTACATTGACTTCCTGGAGTTTTGTTGTCACCATGTAACATTATATAATGTTAATCAGTGAGCTTCAAAGGTGCTGGAAGGCAGATTTTGTTGCATTTGGACAGAGCCAGGCTAGCTGTTTCCCCCTGTTTCCAGTTTTTATTACTGTGTTGATGTTGTTTCTGACTGATTCTCCCCAGATCATCAACCTGTTTGTGGCTGTCATTATGGACAACTTTGACTACCTGACACGTGATTGGTCGATCCTGGGGCCACATCATCTTGATGAATTCAAGAGGATCTGGGCTGAATATGACCCAGAAGCTAAGTAAGTTTACAGATAATTAACAACATATGTCATCCAAATAATGAATCTGTCACCTGAGAGTCAGTATAATGTGACGTCTGTGCTGTTTCCAGGGGGAGAATAAAGCACCTGGATGTGGTGACTCTGCTGCGAAGAATCCAGCCTCCCCTGGGTTTTGGAAAGCTCTGTCCACACAGGGTGGCCTGCAAGGTAAACACACACTCAAACACATAGTCCCACCAAATCCCCAACACGGTGTGAAGGCTGCAGAGCTGTATAAAAATCTATAAAATATTTGATCAGGCTTTCAAATTAATTCTCCTAATATTTTGAATTATATAAAAACCACTGTTTGCCAGGTACGATAAATATACAGAAATGTTTGTGATATCAATGTGATGAATTATTGACAGCTCATAACACCTTCCACGGTGACTCAAATAGCACATTGACAACAGAAGACATATTTTAGATATTGACATCTCTCTAGAGGAAAATTAGTAGTGACCATAGAGTCAAACTACTGCCTGGTAATTGTCAACAAACTGTCTGCTGCCAGTAGATGCTGGCAGGAAATGTAGTTTATCATCATCATCATTTTATTTAAAAATGTTGTGGAATCACACAAAATGTTTCATCTAATACAGCGTCTGGTGTCGATGAACATGCCTCTGAACAGCGATGGAACAGTGATGTTCAACGCCACACTTTTTGCCCTGGTCAGAACCGCACTCAGGATCAAGACAGAAGGTAACAGACACGCATATGAACAAACACTCTAATGCAGTTGTACAGATATTTACACCGATCAGCCATAACATTATGACCACTGACAGGTGAAGTGAACAACACTGAATATCTCGTTACCATGGCACCTGTCATTGGGTGGCATATATTAGGCAATACGTGAAAATTGCGTCCTCAAAGTTTGTTTGTTAGAAGCTGGAAAAATGGGCAAGCGGCTGGCCTGTGTGGTCCAAGCCAACAGACAAGCTACTGTAGGTCAAATTGCTGAAAAATTTGCTGTAACATGCTGGTTTTGATAGGAACGTGTCAGAACACACAGTGCATCGCATTTTGTTGCAGATGGTCAGGGTGCCCGTGCTGACCCATGTCCACTGCCAAAATTGCCTGTAATGGGCACATGAGCATCAGAAGTGGACCACGGAGCGATAGAAGAAGGTGGCCTGGTCTCATTAATCACGTTTTCTTTTGCGTCACATGGATGGCCAGGTGCATTTGTGCCGTTAACCTGGGGAAGACATGGCACCACGGCAACCTTGGGTCCTGCCATTCATGTGGATGGACTTTGACACATACCACCCACCTAAGTATTGTTGCAGACCATTTACACTCTTTCATGGAAATGGTTTTTACTGGCAGTGGCCTTTTTCAGCAGGATACTGCGCCCTGCCTCAAAGCAAAAATGGTTCAGGAATGGTTTGAGAAAACAACAACAAGTTCAAGGTGTTGATTTAGCTTCCAAATTTTTCCCAGTTATCAATCCAATTGAGTATCTGTGGGATGTGCTGGACTAACAATTTCAATCCTCAATTTACAGTTTACATCAGCAGCTAACGTCTTCACGCCAGATACCACAGTACACCTTCAGAGGTCTAGTGGAGTCCATATCACACCCCAGTTTACTGTCCTATAGATATAAATACAGAAACACAGAGGGCTTTCACATTGGACAGGCTGTGTGGTAATGTAGTGTGCAACTGTTAAAATACTACTACTTTTACTACTTTGAACCTACATTATCTATATTGTTCGTATGTATGCAGGTAACCTCGAGCAGGCCAATGAGGAACTGAGGGCAATAGTGAAGAAGATCTGGAAGAGAACCAGCATGAAGCTCTTGGATCAAGTAGTGCCCCCTGCTGGTGGTATGTATACTCTGCAACACAATTTCATCCATATCTAACACAAATATTGAAAAGGTGCACACTTTCAAAAGTCATTAAACTTCATGTTGTTTTCTTTATTTTTATTTTATTAATGTGACCAAAACCTTGATAGTGTCACATGACACAGCTTTTCTAAAAATAAAAACTTTGAGACATTATTTTAAGCATTAAGATTATGCAATAATATGATGTCGCCCTGTGATGGACTGGCGACCAGTCCAGGGTGTACCCTGCCTTTCGCCCGATGTCAGCTGGGATTGGCTCCAGCCCCCAAGCGACCCTGTACACAGGATAAGCAGTAGACAATGGTTGGATGGATGGATAATATGATGTATGTTTTTATTTCTTGCAGATGATGAGGTAACAGTCGGGAAGTTCTACGCTACCTTCCTCATCCAGGAATATTTCCGCAAGTTTAAGAAGAGGAAAGAACAAGGGCTGGTGGCCAAGGTGGCCCCCAAAACTGCCCTCTCTCTGCAGGTACACACACACAGAAGTTTTCTTTACCCATCATAAATCTGTACGTACAGTATTTGTTACATTGTCAGGATACTCAGAAGACAAGTAGATTTTTAAATTGTGACTTGGTTAAAGAAATATGAGGAGGAATATAGTTTGCGAGTGCAGATTTGTTTCTGGGGTTTGACAGCAAAATGAACATGTCGGTCACTGTGTCCTTCCATCATAAGTGCAACACCAGGGTGTCTGGTCTGTTTGTAGGCTGGCCTGCGGACATTGCATGACATTGGTCCAGAGATTCGGAGGGCCATCTCTGGAGACCTGACCGTGGAGGAGGAGCTGGATAAAGGTCTAAAGGAGCCTGTGTCGGCTGCGTCCGAGGACGATATCTTCAGGGTAAAGGTCGGATACACACACCCTCAGTCACTCTCCTGAGAGAGAGAGAGAGAGAGAGAGAGATGATCAGCGCCCAGCTTGAAGCCATATTAATGCTCCATACACATATACAGACATGTTTGCATGTGCTCAGACATTTTGACATCTAGAATGCCTCGTTCTCCACCACATAGCTTGGCTACCAATCACTGCACGTACTGAACTAAATTTGATAATTAGTTGTATGCATTTTGGAAGCACATACAGTGGCCGCAAATTGCATAAAAACACAAAATATTATCACAAAACTATAAAATCAAATTGCAGATTTGATTTCATCAAATAGTTGAGAGCAACTGACAAAAACTACACACACACACACACACACACACACACACACACACTTCTTTGCTCAAGGGTGAGTTAGGCCTATTATGAGCCTCCATTGTCAATGTCATTGCCAAATTCATGTGTTTTGTTTTGTTTACTTTTTTTTTTTTTACTTAACATATTTATGAAATGCAGATGGACGCAAATAAGTAAATATTTTTGAGCAACACAATTTAACTTGATTGGATATAGAATCACCCCACTCCTCTTACGCCTAAAACTCAGGGAGCATTCTGGAGATTTTAGACCAAGATTTAGTGTGTGATATATTCAGTCTCTCATTTTCATTCACTGACATACTCATTCTGCTCTCATGTCAAATATTTCATCTGTTATCTGTAATACATTTCTAATTTGGGGATACATTGCAAATACAACCTCTCCTTGGTTTGGAACACAAAGCCTTTACTTTGCATTTCCATCTTGGCTGAATAAAGTTTTGTTGCTGCTAGCCGTGAATGACAGTAGTGTTCGAGTGTAGTAAGATTTAAAGATATTTTGACGTAATTTTTCCACTATTCTCATCTTCTCCCTTTTCTCTTCTTCCTTTTCCATCTCTTGGATCATCCTAATTCCCTTCCCTCCTGTTTATCTTTCTCTTTCTCATCTTTCCCCACAGCGTACAGGTGGGTTGTTCAGCAACCACGTCAACTACTACAACCAGAGCGATGGCCGCGGTTCCTTCCCACAGTCCTTCACTACCCAGCGTCCCTTGCACATCAGCCAGAAGGGCTCTCCTTGTGAAGGCGAGAGCCCGTCCCACGAGAAGCTCATGGACTCGACCACTTTCACCCCTTCCTCTTATTCTTCATCAGGCTCTAATGCCAACATCAACAATGCCAACAACACTGGCATGGTTGGGGTGGTGACCCAGGGAATCAGTCGATTCCCAAGCCCGTCCATAAGCACTGTGGACGGGCACACAGGGCAGCCGCTCACCCCCATCCTGCTGCCAAGATCCGCGTGGTGCTTTCCTCCAAAGAGGTGAGTGCATTCCGGACAGCAGGTTACATCGGATACATATCAATTGTTTCACATGTCATTCTTTTATTTGAAATGGTGTTGTGAAGTCTTTCTTTAGTTTCCTACTTTATGTGCTCTTGAACTGAGGCAAGAATTATTAGTCTGTCTCTTTCATTTCCTGACCATCAGTCAGTACAGATATGTAGCTAGCCAGCTAACATGCTATCTCAGTATGGACATAAATGGTTCTTCTATTTCCTTCACTTTCTTTTTCCTTCCTCCTCTCTTTCCCTCTTTTGTTTCTGGTGGCGAGCAGGACGTGTTTTTATGACACCCTCATGCGGTATGTTGCCAGGGGACAGAGAGAGAAAAGGTGATGATACACTTTTTGAGCAGTGTTGCTGGGCAATCTTGCTGATGGCGAGTCCGACTATGTTTTGAACGGACAGTGGCGGGGCGGGGGACGGAGTGTAGTAATCTTTATTCATTACAATTGATGGCAACATTGCCCAGCACCATTGCTCTAAAAGTTGCTCTGTGTATCATCGGGGGGGTGGTGAGGGGGCTGGTGTTAGTCCCCTAAGTTCCCGCAAAAAGGTTTCATAATGCTATATAAAGTGCTATAGTGAGACTTGTTGCTATAGCAAAAACCAGGCTCTATGCTACTACTATAAAAGTTGCTACCAAAGCCATAGATACTATGTGGTGCAACATGGCCAAACCCTTTCTATCAAAGGCTCTTATTGCTGCTGTTCTCTGCTGTGTAATTGTGTTTTATGGCAGGTCTGGGTTAGGAACAATGTCCGCTCTTGGTCCATCACATGTAGAAATTGTAAGGTGTTGAAACATCTGAAAGCTCATACTTCTCCTATTGTGATTTTAATAGCTCAGTACATTTGGTGTACATTTTTGGAGTATTTAGTTAAAACAAAGCACACTGCACTGGGTTGCTCTGCTCTTTTCTCCATTATAGAGGATAGTTGGTCTGTCCAACAACAAGTCCAGAGCAACATATCTGGGTATTTGGTGACCAGATTGCCACGAAATGTGCTCTGGATATTCAAGGTCCCCAGAGGATGAACATTTTCCATTTTAGACACATCTCAATGTTATACACAAGAAATGTAATTTACAGGCAGATTGTCATTACATTTCCTCAACACATCTATAATCTGTGGGATGAGCCCTCTTGATTCTAATGATACCTATGGCATGTCCATTCGAACCATCCAAAATTTATACTTTTAGCCTTATAACTGGCATTACTGGAGTATGAGAACAGCAAAATCGTTAACATTGTTGGTAATTTATTCCTTCCTGAAGAAACATTCCAGGTTCCAGGCGTTGACTAGCAGAGCTTTAGACATCTCGGTTATTGTTAATTAGAAACGGGAGTTTAACTCATTCACTTTCCCTGCATAGAGACAGTAAGAGATCTAGAATTAAGTGCTCCATTACAGGCAAAGCAAAGTATAAGCTTTCCGATGCACAATCTCTGGATTTGCTTGATTTGCAACAGGGTAACCTCCATCCAGCTCCCAAGACTTTGTCAGGTTTTAATCAAATGCTGTTCTAACCCAGAGTTTGCTGTGGATCCCTTAAATGGCTATGGATTAAAGGGACATCTTGACATTATTTGTACTTGTGAGAGTTCATCATTAAAAATAATGGGTACTGCTAAGTGCAGCTAAGCAGTTTGTTATGACTCTGGTTTGAATTTGAAACATAACCATTAATGGGTGGTTCTGGGGAGCTGACATGTTGTAGCCTTTTAGAAAACAATCTAATGGAGAATAAATTATTAAACTTCAAATGTCAGGATGTCTCCTTAAAGCTTAAGTCTGGAGTATGAAAACATATGTGGACAGATAGGATGACAAGACATCTTTGGAATACAAAGGGAATACAATATAATACAGATTACAGAGCTTGTCTCTCGAGAGGGGGGTCAGCATTTGAAAAGAACAGTTAAGTTAGAGTTAAAGACTTTTTGTGTTTTCTCCAAACAAACGTTTATCCAGGTTAATAACGTCAATACAATAGCGTCTACTTCTTAAGAGACTAGTAGAAAAGACAGCATTTGATTATCTGACTTTATTGGTCTTCATTTTAAATGATGAGAACAGCATTTTAAAAAGTACCTGTTTAATTTCCCAGAAGGTCTACATAAGCAATGCTCTCCAATTAGCTAACACCAATAGCTGTTACCAGCCATTATCTTATCGTACCTCATCTTTGTTTTTTAAAGATGTCTGCAACTCAGTCGTGCTATCAGTTTGTCATATTCCAGGTTTTGCCTTTGATGCTTTTTACCATTTAGCTTTAAAAAATAGTGGCAATTCCCACCTGCTTCACCTCCTTCTTTATCTTGCCTTTTCTTCTTCTTCCCCCTATTTCCTTTTTCTACATGCAATAGCTAAGCCTGAGTCTCCTCCATAGCTCTTCTCTGAGTTTTTTTTGCTAATCAGCTGCTTCTTTTTTTTCTGTGTGTTTATGTTTACATCCGTCTGCCTATTTGTCCACCTGTTTCCGTCTGTGGTCTGCGTTTGTGTTCATTTTGTTTGTTTTGTTGTTTCGGTTGTGTGCTTTTTGTTCGTTTGTAGCTCGGACTCAAGTGACAGCCGCCTTCCAATCATCCGAAGAGGCGAGGGGTCAACGGAGGAGACCTACGATGAAAGCTACGGTGACGATAGGGAGTACCACGAGGACGACCACTCGCTCTCCTCTGACATGTACCGCTAACACAGACACACAACATAACAACCTTCACCTCTAAAGTCATTTCAGGGTGTGTCTTTCATTAACTCCTCTTTGTGTGTGGGTGTACTCAATAGGCTGGTGTATCATGATGATACATGTAAGCAGTTGACTCCCATGGAGGAAGGAGAGCAGGTAGAAGACAGAAGAGGAGGAGGAGGTTGGCAGTCTCCCAGGAGAGTCTTCCTCTGCCCCACTTCTCTGGGTGAGCAGACACGTGCAGATAAAAATCTTTCCTGAAAGTTGTTGAAAAGCGTTGGTACAACTAGTCTGTACATGTCAATAAGATGTCTCCTTTTTCTATATTTTACAAATATTCGTGTGTGTGTGTGTGTGTGTGTCAGGGCGGAGATCATCCTTCCACCTGGAGTGTCTCAGGAGACAGTCAAAGACAGATGTCTCCCAGAAGACGTCTGTACCGCTACACCTTGTACATCATCAGGTAGAAGATGCCCACAAAATAAACACAAATATACTCTTACACTTAGATGCACATAAATAAGTTATAAATACAGCACACGAAGTAAAGCTCCCAGCCATGTTGCAGACATATTCCCCCCCTTCCCTGCTCCTCTCTAACAACCTCCCTCGGCTCTCTCCTCCTCCAGGCTTTGGCTGTCGCAGGGTTGAGTCCTCTGCTAAGAAGGAGTCATTCGCCTACCCTCTTCAGCCGGCTATGCTCCTCGCCTCCAGCCAGTCCCACAGGTATACTGCATTCACAAGCCAAAGAGTTGTTTGTCTGTAGTACTGGCAGAAACGTGGCATTACATTTCCTCTGCATGCACAATCATCACTTTATTTAATGAGGGGGAAAAGGGCCACAGAATCCAGAATAGGGATTATTTAAGATCATATTATTCTTGTCATGTTGCAGTATTGTCATTGTACTTGTTGAAATAGGGTTGTTCTGCTAATTGATGCTTCCACTGTCCTATCTGTTTTTATAGCCCTTGGCAGTGATGCTTCCTACCAGCGAGTGCCCTCTCTGAGGCTAGAGGGCACTAACTCCCATGAAAAGCTCAATACCAGTTTGCCCTCTGTCAACTGTGGGCCATGGTAAGAATGAGAACCTTGAAAAAAAAAACAAGTCACAATACAGTTGCCCAAGTAGCAGTTATGATGATACTTGGGCAACACTGTATGAACAATAAAGATAATAAATAAATAAAATGTGTTGCTCCTAGGTACAGCGACAGTAATGGGAACAGCCGGGTGCCCAGTCCTAGCCCCAGCGTGTCTGGGTCCAATCAAAGACCACCACGGCCGGTGTCGCTCACAGTGCCCTCGCTACTGGGAAAAGACTCCAGCTCACTGTCTCGCGGAAGCGCAGGCAGTCTGGTGGAGGCGGTGAGTGCATGTGTACAGGTTGGAGAAGGTTACACTCTAATTGTTAGTCTGCATTCAGCTGGGGCTGAAGCTATCCTCGGTTGTGAGGATTTGCTGCCTTTTATTTGTCTTATGTCAATGATTCCCAACCTGGGAGTTGAGACTACTGCAGTGAGTCACAGGATACATTTGAGAGGTTCACAATATGTTCTGCTAAACAAATTTGAATTCTTATCTAAACTGTTGCTTTTTTTGTGAAATATTGGATAGTTTTACATCTTTGGGCGTCAAAAATGTATTCAAATGAGACTATCTGAAAGTTTTACAGATCAAAACATGTAATTTAGACTTCTGACATCTGTGATAAAGGGTGCAAGTAGATACTGCTTTATTATTTATTTACAATTTGTTGGCATCCCCTTTGGCTTCGTGAAGCTGCCATTGCCTATTTTCTACAATTTTATAGACAAAACAATCAAGAAGCAAATTAATCATAAGTTGTAGCCATAATTTTCCATCATCTTTTTCCTGCAACATTAAAGTTTGCTTTTCTGTCTCACTCCCTCCATTCCATCCCCCCATGTCTCTCTACCTGCCTCCCTTTCTCTCCATCCATTCCGCTCTTTCCTATTTCCCTCTCAAGGTGCTAATATCAGAGGGTTTGGGTCATTTCGCCCAAGACCCGTCGTTCATTGAGGCGACTAAAGCCGAGTTGGCTGACGTCTGCGACATGACCATCGAGGAGATGGAGCATGCCGCCAACAACATTCTCAATGGCAACAGCGCCACAAACACCACATCTGGCACCTCCTCCACCTCCCAGCACAGCCCCAACAGCAACCTCCTCCCCTTCCACACAGCAGCTGCAGCAACGCAAAGGGACCGAGTGCTCAGCGAGGGCGGGGGAGAGGCCGGTGGAAGCAGAGGCTCCGTTCACGGGCCGTCCTCAGTGGAGGAGCGGCAGGAGCTGCTAGCAGGAGTTAGGGGACGAGAAGAGGAGGAGGAAGAGGCGGAAGGGAGGGAGGAGGGGCACAGCAGAAGCTTGGTTGTGATTGAAGGAGCGCGACAGAGAAACAGCGGACTGTTGGACGACGAGGATATGGAGTGTGTGACGAGTTTGTAGGAATCGGCTTGACGGGTTCAATCGGCCGACTGGCCCCTCTGACATCATCAGAGACTAACGTTTGTCAGTGCTGGGTAACCGCCGCAGCTGGATCTGTCTGTCCCCGCCGCTCACACACACACACACATACTCTGTCTGCCTCTCTGCCAGACGTAACCGCTCTGGACATTGGCGGCCAGTGACGCAACCTTAAACACCTGGTTATGACTTATTTGGTTTATATGAGTTTGTATGTGTGTGAATGTTTGTAGTAAAGTACGCCACACAATACTCTATACTATCTGAGTGTATGCCTGTGTGTGTGATCTATGATTTTCTCTATTTGTACGTGTACGTGAGTGCGTGTGTTCTCCACACGTGTCTGAGTGTGTCTCTAAAGTGCCTCACAGTTTTATCATGTCCTCAAAGTGTGAAGAGCAGAAAAGAAGAGACAAGCAAAAAACGTGCCAGGGGACAGTAGGGATGAAGGAAAGGTAGAAAGGAAACAACAGAAGCAGGAAGTCCTTTTATGGATTTCCTGCAGTCGACATACTGTGTTTATTGTTTTCATTTCCTCTGCCTACTTTGGTGTTGTGTTATTGTTGTTTGTCTGGCCGCCATGAAGCCAGGTAGGGGACAGCAGACCAGCTTGTGTGGGGGGTCAGTTAATGATTCAAATCTGACCGCACCCACTTGAGTTCAAAGGTCAACCACTCCTTCTTGGTTCACTGATGATGAAGCGCTGTATTGAGTAAACGGGGGCGAGGAAAACCCTGTTTGAAATCTCATTTCTCTTCCTCTTCCAAAGCTAAGGAACCTTGGAGCACAGCCCTGCCAGCCTGGGGGTGGGATTAAGGTGACACGCCATCCCCAGCCAAGGGGGGGGAAGGATTTGAGGGATGGACCAACAGCCACAACAGGGCTGCTGTAGGGGGCCACGGGCAGAGAGAGACACTCTCTGGCCAACAGGAAGCCAGCTCTTTTATCTGCTGGTCAGTAAGATGCCAGCAAGAGACAAACTCACCTCGTCCGACACTTTGATCTGGCTTCGCCTCCTACGCCCGCTTTTCCTCGTTTGGCCACACCCACTTCCTGACCCAACCAGGAAATGGGAGGAGCATTTGGTGGCTAAGCAGAGACAGCGAGCCCCCCTTTTCTGCCTCATACCTCGCCGTTCCTCACTCCTCCCTCTCTCCTTCCTCCCTCCTCTTTGGTTATTCCACCATCTGTCTCCCTCCATCGCTGGGTTTTTGCTTTTTCAGCCCTCGGGAGGTGAGTGTGTCGAAGGGTGGAGGAGAGATCGGGAGTGACCGATTGAAAAGAAAACAGACTCTGGGCATGGATCTACAGAGGATCTGTCCGTCAATCAACCTCACTTCCTTCTCCAAGACCCTCCTCTTCCTCTCAGCGTGGAATCCTATTGGATTTGCTGCCACACACACTCTCTCTGCAGACCACGCCCACTATGTATTTAACAGTTCAATATTGTGCAAAACTGGCTAGCCATGACTATTTTGTTTTATATTCATGATGTTATTGGTTTAATTTATCCTTGATTTGTTTGCACAATCGGGGTGCTGGTCTTATAAATGTATTTTTGCTCGGTTTATTTTAGGAGAATTTTAAGAGGTTTTAAGTATCGAAGCAGGGCGTAGTGTTTGCGTGCGAATGTATAGCTATATTTGTGCGTGCGGGTGCGTGTCTGCATTTTAGTACAGGATGTATGCGTGTACGAATGTGTGAGATAGCGTGTATCTAAAAGGGGGGTCTTTCTCTCTATCAGTATGCACCTTTTACAGATTGTATCTATTTATTTATTTATTTTTCCCAGAAGAGAAAAAAATGTGTGTGAGGATGTGTTTGGATGTGTGTGTATGTGTGTGTGTGTGTGTGCCTGTGTTCAAGTGGTTACTTATGTATTCTAAAAAGCTGATTTTAAGCCTAGACAGTAAATTAAGGTAGCATTACAAGTATGGTGTGTGTGTGTGTGTTTGTGTGTGTGAGAGAGAGAGAGAGTATGTGAGTGTATGTGTGTGATAATGGGCCTCCTTAACACAGGGTTACCATGGACAGGCATGCTTCCAAAGCTTTGTGATTTCTTTAGCACGGTTTTTACTTTTTAGCCAAGCTGCAGAGTCAGAAGCCACTCTATCCTTGAAATTTAGTCATCGCATAACTTTTCTTCATTTTTCTGTTGAGAGGTAGTTAGGTGTAAGGTCTCCAGCGAGGTCAGAGTGACGGTTAAGTTTACAGTGGTGACGAGTTTCGGCATTGCAGCTTGGCCAGAAGGTAACAAGCCTTTTGGCAATTGCTGCTTTTCTTCTTTATGGTGGATGGTCACTCTGAATGGTAGAAGCACCAAATTTGTACTGCCATAGTGACGCCTCGTGAATGAACTGGGGGATGACGCCCTGATCGCTCGGCTGTAACGCACCGTAATCACATGATTTCATCATTTAATCGTAGTTTAAACTCCAAACGAACTATTAGGGCTGGTGTACAGATGCTGCAAGACTTCTGAATCACATCTCTTTGTCTGAGGTCTGCCATATCACAAAACATTATGATTTATTGTTATTGTTAGAAATTAAACAGTTCCATGTCTGTAATATAATTTACTGTTTAAGAAAAAATTATACTACAGACAGGATATTTACTGGTAATTAATAAGATGTGATAATTGTTTGGTTAATGTGATAAATTAGTGGATATAGATCAGAAAACGAGGTGGGAAGTTGCATCCTGGATGATCCCCTGGTGTGATTTTTGTCTCTTCATTTTCTTGTAATGGATTTTAGGTAGCATGCTGACACATTTTTATTGACCTTTCTCTATTATGGCACAGGTATGGACCTCAGGCCTCCGACATTACACAGGGCACGGGTCTCTTTTTGGTATTGTATCGTCTCCAAAAAAATATCAGTATCACATCCTTTGTACCAATTGTCACATTTATTAAACAACTTTATAGTATTTAAAACTGAAATTGTTCAATTCAGTTTTCTAAAATGTTATGTAGCAACCTATGCTAGCCACTGACAATTTGGAAAAACATTGTGATCACCACGATCCCGATGCAAAGTCACCTAGTCACTAGGATTTTATTGAAAGTCTGTATCTTACCAGACCAGTGTTCACATGCAGATACAACTCAGTAGATCTTACATAAATTACCTCTTTAAATTCCCACCCAGAGACGCATGTCTTATAACTCCCCATTATTTTTTTACTTTAATTTACCACTAAGGACTAACTGCTGAGCCCTCATTCCTACATGTTAAGCAGAGCAGGTTTGTGGCAGGGAAGGGTAGGCATGAACACACTGCCATACACTGCATCCTGTGCCAGTAACAGACTTCTGACATTATTATGCAAACTAAATGTGAATGTTGAACGTGTTTTCAGTGGCAGTGCTATTGTTGTTTTGTGGTTATGATCATACTGCAAACCCTGAAGAAGTCTGTTGTCAAAGGAATACCTTCCCTGACATTTAGTCTGTTGTTTTTGTTTTCTTATCCATAATACTTCATAAAAACAAACCTTCAACATTTCAATCTTTCTTTCAATCATTCTAAAAGCACCTCATTAAATAGTTCTTTATTGAAATAACATGGTACCATAAGCTAGCAGGCTACTTTGCAGCAAGTGGCTCAGTTTCAGTATAAGCTGCTGTTTTTTTTTTAGTAAAAGTTAGGATGGAAGATTTAAGTATGGTCAAGCACGTTAGTGTGTGCAGGGAAGTATCTGGGTTCAGTGTTTTAACCTTAGTTAAGTTAGCACAATCTCACATTGTGCTTTGTTTTTTTTTGTTTCCCCTCTGTTGTTACCAGCCCTGGTAAAGTTTATTTAACCCTGAATTTGAAAGACATAACAAGTTCTCCTCCTGGTCATTTATGCTGATTTACTCATTACCATTAGGTCTAAGTCCTGAATAATAAATGCAACCAGCCGGCACCTGAATTGTAAAGTAGTAGTTTTTGCATCCAAGCTGCTACAGAGGAGCCAGCAAGTGTGTCTGCTTTATACCAAGCATTTTTGATCAGCCGGTATAGCAACAGCTATGAATGTCCCTCAAGACAGTTTTGATAAGAAACTGCATAATGAATGAATAGTAACATTAATGAATCAATGAATTATCCAACACAGAACCATTCTCCGACTTGACCAAGTTAAAATTAGGAAGAGCAAGATTCCCACAAGGATGTTTTCTATTATTTATGATCATAGCCGTAAGATGAATAATCAATAATTACAGAAACATTCATAAATGTTCAGTATCACCTCCAGTTTTGCAGATGAAAGAACAGAGATAAAGCATTCAGTTCAAATCCTTTAATTTTGTGCTCCTAAAACATTTTCATGTATATACTATACCGCATACTCATATCGAGTAACCCTGCATATCAGAAGTGCCAAACCAGACTTTGTTGTGTCTGTTTAAAGGCTCTTTGTTTTCAAATGCAGGTGAGGGAGATTCAGAGGCCTGTGGTGTCCCTGTGTGGAGTGGAGCAGCATTGCCATTTTTATGTTATATATAGGTTAGCATGAACTATGACGTGTTGCGTTGCAGTATATGGTATGAGTGGGTGTAATCCTGCATCCCACAAGATATGCAAAAACAATGCAATAACTATGACTGTATACAAGGTTCCCGAAGTAAATATACTTGTGAAAGTATGACAATGTATTTTTTTCTGTTTGTTACATTTTTAAGTAAAGTCAGTGGTTTCCATGCCAGAGAAACCTAACATACTTGAAATCAGGTACATTGCAGTGCAGTATAGTAAAGATGTATTTATTTAACTTTCTCGTGCTAGGTGTTGGATCTGCAGCTGCAGTCAAACGTGTATCGGGACAGCAACATGAAGTTGGTGTTGTTTCTTGTGGTTTAACATCCAGCCAGTGGAGACCCAGAATGAAAAGCTGATTATCTATTCTGATGATTCAGCAGCGAAAACGACTAACTTCAGCTCCCTGACTCAATATGTTTTTGACCCTTTCTCTCGTTTCTTTCCAGTTAGATTTTAAATGGATTGAGCTACGTGGCTGTAACATCAGTATTGCATGAGGTTCACATGTTGACATTGAGCGTGCCGGGTTTTGCAGTCATTTTGTTTTTATCAGGTTAAGTATCATATCACATTATGACAGAGTAGCTATTTCTATTTAGTGTACATATGATTATAGTCAGTATTTCTTTGACAGCAGTGGAGGGGTATTTGGAAGGTGATTTTGCATATCTTGTGTCTTATGGGCTCTCTTAGTTCATTTTCTGATTCATAACCCTGAGAAGGAGAGAGCTTATGTTTATATGATTGTCGAAGAGAAAATTTACCTCTCTCTTGAGAGAAAAAGCAAACTACAGTATTTTTACTCCCCACTTTAGACAGGTGTTACTACTACTTTGCCTATGTGTTGCCATAGTCTCTGTAGTCTCTGTCTTCAACTTCTATCTTTTGTCTTCGTCATGTGGACATATGGAAGATGGACCAGTGGGGATAATGTGTATGAAATGGACCAAATCACCCATAATTAGTAGTTTTTTATAAAAACATTGGTGGATAATATTGGATGGACAAACACACAGGCAGGAGCTAGGGCTAGCTCCCTCCCACTTTATTTGCTATATTAATGCACAAAGTGAACAATATACATGAAAACGTCAATTTATAATCCACAGGTTAATGAAGCTGTCCCAATTCCATATCATGCACTTATACATAAGAAGATTATTTAGTGTATTCACACTAAAGTGACAACATTAAGTCTTCAATTAAGTATATTCAAGTGGTCAGTAGGCTACATATTGTAAAATAAATTAACTCCCAGAAGTTTTAGTATTTAAATTCCATAACGTTTAGGGACTCACAAGATTAAAAGAAGAATGGTATGCAGCAAAAGGCTGAGATATTCTCATATTTTGTCCCTAGTGTTGGTCAGGCTCCAAATATGCTTGATACTACATTTCCCATAATTCAACAAATAACAGCTCTTCTAATTATTATTAATTACAGGTGGTGGTGAGACAGTTCCAGAAATTTGTCACAATACAACAAATAAAATATTCTTTCATGCCACCTTAAAGTCACAGTTTAATTGACACTGGATGGCGTATTTATGGCATTATTTCTGGTTAAATATGCCGATTTCTTGTATGCCAACTGCATAAACATATATTATAAAGGTTCGTATAAAGTTATACCCTACACTAGTAGTGTGTAGTATCTATTGGAACACATCATGAGCGTAAGTTTGTTCATCCTGCCAGTGATAGTCCTTTTTTTCACACCTCAATTATGTCTCATTTCCATTTTGGTGTGCCAGTAAACCAGCAGTAACCAAACTACGGCCATGGAGCTGGAACCACTAAATGGACCATAGCCACTATTTATGACGTTAGTTACGCTTGTGTTTTGCCGGTCACATTGTCCACGCTGAGAGAAGTCTGTGTGTATGTTCCTGTGGTCTGTAGACAATTTATCAGGCTGCTAATCACGCTGATAAGCTGCAGCTGTGTCTGCTGCCTCTCTGGATCTCCACCTACAGCTAGTTAAACTAAAACCACACCCCTCTGCCATAAAGGGTGCCGTTCAGATTCAAGTAATTCAAAGCAAAGATAGAGAGAGAAAATAGACGGAAGACAATCTAGTTGACGGTTGATGACAATGGGAAGCGGTGGGTGTTTGGTCTGAGTAACATTGTTTAAAGGAGAGTATTTTTTGGAATGGTAGAAGATTTTGTTTCATCATGTTTGGATTTCAGGATGAAGTTCTGACTTCTGAATCTTATATCCAAGTGTTTTATGTGCATGGGTTTCTCTCTCTAGGAATTTAAAGTATTGGTCCTAAGTGAATGATGAAATCTTTTCTCTCACCACTAGCCAATGAATGTATATTTTTATATACCATTCTATAGCAAGACATATATGAATATAATATTTAATCACCAGAATGTTAGTGTAAGGAACAGACAGGACACTTATTTGGGAATGTAGTTTTTGAGCCATTGGTTATGAAGATGTGTTATATAGGCCTACTGACTGAGGGTCAGTATGAATTTCTTGAACAAAGTCCCACTTTATTGACTGTATTTTTGACCAAAAGGCGCTGAAGGCGTACACAATGGAATTTTAGGTCATTTCACAAATCTATCTATCCCTCACCAGTGCTGTGACTATTTTTTTAGTTTTAAAGACACTAGGGTATAGAAGTGAATATTGTCAACTAGCCTCACAGTATACACACTGAAGGAGATGTCACACACTTTCACATTTGACATCTACTTTAAGCAACAGAGAGATCTGAAATTTAACGTGCATTTACTCATTATTTTTGTTTGAGAGACATTAACCTAAAGTCTGGACATTTTCCTACTGTAGCACCGAGAGACCTGTCTCTTTCGCTAGTCCAATATCACTGACACACACACACTGTAAACTCTTTCAAATGCATTATTTAAGCTATTAAAGACATCTAACCAAAATAAATCCACCCATCAAGGACTAGATATTTATATGAGCTATGAAAACCATGTAGCTTCGATTTTATTCTTCCAAGAAATGAATTAGAGGACTTGAACTACACCAGCGTAGAGAAATCCTCATTGAATGCAGACAGTAAAGAAAGTAAAGAAGTTCAGCGGCCAACCAACTAAATAATTGTGTGTTTATGAAATAATGAAAAACGATGTGTCAGATTTGTAATCAGAATTGCTTTGTGGCAGGTTTGATCTAAGAAATGTTGAATTTATATCCTGCATCTCGACGGTGACGACGAGGAAAACTCAAAAATATGTTATGGTTTGTGTGGAAGCTGCTGTACGTCAGTACTGAGAAAAATGCCATACAACACGCTTTAACAAAAATAGTATTTTACACACAAATACTATTTAAAAAGTATTTGAGTTGTGTGTTTATCCAAAACTACATACACATATAATGTGTAATCATTTATCAGAGAGTGAGGCTAGAAAGCAGGACTCATGTTAGTTAGGTTTATCGTCTTAGTAACTCGTAGGCCTGCCGTTATTGCAACAGATGTATGTTATATTGTCTTGTAAACAAAAGTGTTCTTCATTGTTTGATCCTGACAGAAATATTTTAAGAGGACTATTTTCAATATAGATTTTATTTTCCTTTTTTCTAGGTAGAAATCCACATAGCCTGTTGTAGGAATCTTATTCAATCTTATTCAGTCTAATTAAAAGATGAATTCCCTTTTCTGGAGAAACAAGAGAGGATGGTCTCTTTGGTTTTCTGCTGGACAGATTTTACTTGATGACAGTGCTGATGAACGCTTTAGGAAATGGAACAGAAAGTGGGAATATATTATGAAATACATGTTTATATTGCAAGTGACTTCTATTTTAGATATTATATATATAGAACAACTCTATTGAAATTATAAGATTATTAAATGATAGGTTTGGAGCTGGATCAAAAGGAATCTTGTTCTGTGAGGAAAAATGCCCAGATCAGTTTTGGAGGTGCCATACTGTTAAACTCTACCTGTGCTGTAGCTTTCTGTAATGGACCCAGAGGAAAAATGTTTTAATGGTTTTACCATCGGCTGAATGTTTCCATCAGGTTTACAACTCGTCATCATAAAAATCTGCTTTTTTCTGTTTGTTGCCAGCGCATAAACAGGATTTTAGGGAGAAACTGAATACATGCAATGGGATTACAATGAGCCTCTTACAAGATCAAAATGTTTAATTTCATAAAATGAAAGTGACACATTTTAGAATTTAGACACTGGATTTATTAATCTTGATTCCTGAAATTACGCATCAGGCTGTGAGACATTCAAGGAACACATTCAACTTACAGCCTCCAATATTTGAATAATTAGAAGTAATTGTACGGATCTTGGAGGCAAACGTATTCCAGTACCACAAACATTTAAGACCATGATCAGTGGTTAAAGAATCTTAACTAGCCCTCTGCATATTGTGCTGCACTGGCTCAAAGTAACACTCACACACTCACAAACGCATGTAAAGTCTTCACACATCAGTCTTGGGAATATTTGATTTGTTCACTTGTGATGGTGGTGAGGAACAAAAATCTGATTTATTTACAACCCTCTTTCCTTTTTCCTGGGACTGATGAGCCATAAAATGAACCAAATAAATTATATTTGATGATGTAGATTTAGAAAAAACACGTTGGATAGCTGAGTATAACTCACCCATTGTGTAGCAGCACCTACAGCAGCACCCCTGTCTGAACATTAAGGACGACTGTTAGTACTGTAAGGACCTTGAAAGCCTCGTGTTTATCACGCATTCCTTCACTTACTGTTATTCATACACAATGTAATAATAATAAATCATAAAGGAGATCCCTGTTTGCACATATCACAAGTCCTGACACAGAGATTGCTCTTTGTGTTTCACTTTTTTTGGAGAGGAATGCTGCCCCCACAGCCTGTTGATGGAGGAGTTTTCTGGACCAGCTAGTGTTTCTAACAGCGACTTTCTTCAGGATATTACTTCAGCTAACGTTTCTCAGCTCTGGAGGCATGGCTGCAGCTTTACGATGCAGATTTCCTGTCAGCCGTTCTGGTGTTAAAACAGCTCAACCTCGGTAGGACCATGAATGTCTCTGCCTCCCTGCATCTGCTCCTCCTCTAACTTTACCGATGAAGAGCTACATAACATTGCACCTTTATGACAGTGATTTCATCCCTTGAATGTAGGACGCAATATTGCTCATACCGGTGTTTGTTTTTTGTTTAATGGAAAAAAAATGTTGGAAATTTTGACCACCACAGACATAAAAGATCTGATTTGACCTCTTTGCTGACAAAGAATCTTTACAAACCTTGATTCTACATGGTTTCATCTTGCTAGGAAAGCCACATTTGACCACAGAGATTTAGAAACAAACAGGTCTTGTATGCCTGTGTGTGTAAGTGCAGCTTTAATGAATGACTTGGTCCGTCTGAGAGCATAGGCAGAGTCGTGTACATTATCAGTGTTTCTTTCTTGCTGGTGTGAAAACGCCTCTTTAACAGCATGCAGGCGATAACTACATTTTTAAAAATCCAGGTGGGGTGATCCCGGCCTTTTGCCAGCCTGGCCATTCAATGGCTGGGGGTCTACAGCTTCATATACAGTAGTGATTAACGAAAAATTGTTCTGTTCCTTTTTTAGTGGGTAAATGCCAGGGTTGTGTGGCTCTGTTCTCCACTGGTCAGTAGTGTCTTATGATCTCGTTCATAGTCTTAGTTCACAACTCATGCAAAGTGTTAAAGGGCCTTTGACAGGATCGAGCTGTTTGTTTGTTTTTGTTCTGTTCTGTCGGAGCGAAGTCTGTTATTAATCCTCAAGTTTTTATTTTGTGTGGAGAGAGGTGTTCACACAGAGACCAATTTGTTGTAATATTAGTAGTGGCGCTACTGTTAAATGTAGTATTTAATAACAGCACTATTTATGGTCAAAAAATGAACTAGTGTGTTATTGTACTTGCGGTAGCTTTGGAGGCAGGTGGCCATTTTGTAACTGAGTTCTTTAACATAAGCCACTCCCCCTCGTGTGCGAGGGGTTTCATTGGTTCTGAGGTTGCTAAGTGACACTGGCCCAACATCATTTGCTTCCCTCAGTGACCATTCGTCTCCTTTGATGACTGCATGGTCTCACAGTTGACACACCCTTTTCTTTTCCTTCTTCTCTTTCTTTTTTCCAAAGAAGAGTTCTTTGATTTTCCTTTTGTTCATGCATTTTCATTTTAGATTTTAGAAAGGGAAAGAATACAAATCAAATAAATCAGAATATTAATTCAATCACTTTTTCTACTCCTATTTTCAATAAAAAGTGAAACGAAAAACCAAACAAAAAGTTGATTTGTAAATAAGTAATGTACAGTTTGTATCTGTAACTTGTCAGTCTGTCATTGGTGACAGAGTCTGTCTTGCTTATAACGCACGCTACCAGTAAATAAAAAAAGGAAAAATATATTTAGACTGTATGGTCCCTTGAAAGCAAGTTTTAAATTAATATCTGATGTATATTCCTGTAACATTGCATTTTTATCTGAAGGAATGATGTTATTAAAAAATTGCAAATAAATTGCATTTCCTACAGCTGTGTTTTTCACTTCACGTTTGCTATAAGTTAATATACTCTGCCATTAAAGTTGAAGTTAATAACTGTATCGATGCTAGACTATCCAAGAAGTGTTACCTGTCTTTAAACATAAATAACACGGCCCTTACAAGATAAAATCCATCCTAAAACATAATCATACTGTACCTGTTTCTATACATTTCTGATTTTATATATACTGCACACACACTGACACAAAAAAGTCTGATATTCTGTAGTCACAACTATTGTTTATAGGATCAATAGGGTGATTCTGCAGGTTATTCAATTCAATTTGATTTAATAAAATTTAACTACTTTACATTACATCTTAGGGTATAGGATATTAGGATAAATTCTCTTATAGATGGCTCTTTGAAGCAAATTTGTGATTTGGAAATCACATTGGAATTGTGGATGGAATTTAGGGCCATGTAAGGGAACATCATTACGTTTGGTCATCAATCAATGAGCCATTAGTCAAAGTTACTTTATGTTATCTTTTGAATAAGTTAGGATCACGGACACCTAAAATGTACAGTTTAAAAATGTCTAAATTATCAAAAAGATGCAATAAGCTACCAAATGTACACCATCCTTTCAACAATATCCCAGTTTGCTTTATTATTAGTGGATTGATCTCCCAGCATATAGATCCTGAACGCATTGCCTTTAGCATTTCTCAAATAACACTTAACACAAACTGACCCTTGTGGTGCAGTAGGCTTCTGCTGTTTGACTGCAGCACCTGTTTGTTGTACCATAGAATCAAGCCTAAAAATAATCCACGTCTACAAGTGATCGAGTGTTTATTGGAGCCTGCCTATTTCAACCCTCCTGTGGACAAGGTAAGAAAAGGTGCTCACAGGTACTGTATGTTATAAACTCACACACAACCCTGAACTGCTAACAGGCTTTCTCAAATAAAGATTGATGAGTTAGAAAAAAAAAAAAAGTATTCTTTAGGCATTGATGAAACTGAACTGTAATCCACACTGGATTTAAAGGCTGAAAGATGTATCTAACATCACTTGTCTTGATCACCATCACAGCTTTTCTAGTGTTTTTTCCTTTGTGAGGGTATTTACACAGTCATTTCGATGACTGACGACGGATGATTCTTGGGTGATGTTGGGTGACATCAGTATTGGTGATTGTAAAACGCTGCTAGTCTGGTAACTGTATATAATGAGGCTTCTTTCCAATTGTTGCTAGCGATTACACAATAACTAACTAAACCATAAACACTTTATAAACATGACTGTTCATTTGTCTTGGTACAATTAAAGTAAATTTTGGTTTAACGCAGCTTTTCAAAAGCCTTGACGATTTGTTATTTATGACTAAATTGTGATGATTGCGTGTCCGGTTTATGAGTTGCCAAGTGTCTCTTCAGATTTCCCTGCTGCGAGAATTCTCTCTCGCAGTTTGGACACTTAAATGGTTTCACCCCGTTGTGGCTGAGCATGTGTCTCTTCAGGCAGTTCAGTGTGAGGAAGCGCTTCGGGCACTCTGAGCACACGTACGGACGCTCCCCCGTGTGAGAGCGCGTGTGGACGTTTAGGTGACTCTTGCTGGAAAGCCCTTCCCGCAGTGGGTGCAGGTGTACGGCATCTCACCCGTGTGAGACCGAGTGTGCAGCAGCAGCTCCCCGGAAGATAAAAATGACTTCCCGCACGTGGTGCACAAGAAGTTCTTCTCCCCTTTGTGCATCTGCATGTGTCTCGTGATGCCCGCTTTGCTGAAGCCTTTCCCGCAGATCGTGCACAGGTTGGTGGGGCCTTCGTGCAGGCGTTCGTGCTGCTTGAGCGAGTAGTTGCACAGGAATCCCTTGTTGCACTGGCTGCAGATGAATATCCGCCCTCTCTTGTGGAGTCTCTGGTGCTGATAATAACCTGACGAGCTGGTGAATCCCTTCTCACATTGGCTGCAGTGGTACGCAAAGCTGTGGAGCTTCATGTGAGCCTTCAGTTGATTTGGATGTTCAAAAACCTTTTCACACTTCGGGCATTTGGTTTCTTCCTCTGTGAAATTTTTGTTCACAGGTCGCGTGCTCAGAAACCTCTTGTCTTCCCCCGTGGGCTCTTTCCGTCTACGACGTTCCTTGTTTTCCAAGTTGTCCTTCTTCTGCTTACGTTCCCGCTTTTTTTCAATACTGTCTTTTTGTTTGAGTTTCCTCTTTTTCTCAGAGTGGCCTTGTACTTTCTTCTTTTCGGCTTTAAAGTCTTTACTTTTCTGCTGAGTCTTTGCTCTGGCTTTTTTCATGGATAGCTTTTTCCGAATGGGAACTGTGATGCTGTGCTGACTACGAATGTGCTCTTGGACCTTTCTCTTTGTGCGGTGAGAGAATGAACACTGAGGGCAGATGAATAAACAGGACAGGTGACCTGGAAACAGCATGAAAAGCAGCAAGTTAGTAAAATAAGTAAATAAATATGTTTCTGGACCAATTCTGGTCTGCTACTGCAGCTGATTTTGTCTGACCTGATTCCCTTTTTGGCAGCCAGTCGTTTGCTGTGACGTCTGAGCTTTGACTGGAGTCTTCTTCCAAATCTTCCAACTCCGGGGTCTCTTCCTCATTGTCATAATCATCATCTTCACTGAAAGGCTCACTGAACCGGTCCACCCCGGCTTGGGAAGGGAGAGCCAGAGTGGACAACAGGATATCTTCCTCACTGCTGGAAGGAGCTATTGTAGAGGAAGGCATTAAACATTTTACACATTAGTCACAAATTCATTCCTGACAAAAAAACTTACATTTCTTGTCAAAGAAAGAAAACGAGAGAATTTAAGAAAGTAAGCAAGACAGGAGACAGGCAACAAATAAGAAAAAACACCCTTTTTGAAACTTTCACACAGATGTAAAAGACTACATGCAAAACTCTCGTTCCTCTCGTCTTTTCTGAACCTACCAGAGCTGAGAGTGCCCAACTTTATGTGGTGAAGCAGCAGAGTCTTCAGAGCAAAGGGTTCAGACAGATGCAGTCCAAATTCATCTCCAACAGATGTTGTTTCAGTGAGCCATGCTGCTGTCTGACGGAGAGAAGACCACAAAGATGCAGGTTGGCAAGTGAAATAGTCATGTGCTTACAGACCTCAGGGCAAAAGCAGACAAAGAAGAAAATCCAGGGCTTTGTGGCTCAAAAATGCTCTTTGTTGTAGATGACATTTCACACCAAAAAACAACTTTTAAACGACTTTTAAAATCTAATGCAAACAATTAACGAGGATGCACAATTCATCATGTAAAATATGAAATAACTGTTTGATAACAATAGAACTTGGCCTTAATGAAACATTTAATTTAATTTAAAATACTGTTATCATCAAAACAGCACATGTGTACGTAGCATTATAAAGAAAGGTGTTTATCTAAATGTAACAACTTTATTATTTTATATTTGTACATCTCTGCACATATAACAGTACGTTTCAACACATATTTAGACTTACATTGCATTGTGCCTTTAGAAATGTGTGACCTTATGTTAAGAATACCTGTTGCAGGTCTGGTATGGGCAGCAGCTGCTCCAGCCTGGACAGGAACTCAGACACCAGCTGCTGCAGTCTTTGGTCATAGTTAGAGCCGTAGTTTGCAGGAAAAACCTCCTACAGAAACAGCCAGAGCTTTGGATTTCAATTATCATCACTTCACTGGTGTAAATGGTTGGTGAATCTTTAGATTTTATAAGTCACTGTGACTAAAGTATAGTTCATAGATTTCCTTAAAAAGCTGAATCTTTGCCTACATGTCATTTGTTTGCAGTACGTGTATGTTATTTGTATTTTAACAGCAGATACTTGTCATAATAATTGACATCTATATCCCTTTCTTTGATCTGTAAGAAACATGCATTTTTCACAGAGAGACTCACTTGGAAGAAGAACTCCTTTTCATGAGGAACACTCAAAAGATTCTGAACCAGGCTGGCAAAGTTGGTGTAAGAGGTCTTCAGTAAATCATCCCTGACCTGTCAAGACATAGATGACAATAAAGTTACATCAGTTACCGTAGCAACAGTATTATCAGAATCAGAATCAGCTTTATTGCCTGGTATGTGTACACATACGAGGAATTTGACTCTGGATTGTACAGTGCTCATGATGTGCTTACTTATACAATAATACAATAATACAGATTACAAATCATTTATTTTGGGGAACACCCTGGATTTCTAGATGTGTGTGTTGTCTATGTTTTGCTTATGTGGCAGCTGTGCATTTTCTTTAAAAATCACACCATCTGCTCAGTGGAGCTCAGTTCAGCGCAGCAGGCGTGGATTTTATTCAGGTGGCTCTGGATGGTCTGCAGGCTGGCTGCGCCATCACCACGACACAGCTCCAGAACCAGCTGCAGCAGGGCAAAGGCGGGAGACAGGTCACTCAAAAAGCACAACACAGCAGGGAAAAGATTTTTAAGACACACTGACATTAAAACTCAAGAGAACTACTAAAAACAACCCCCTAAATGAATAAGTAAAATGAAGAAGCATTTTCCTCATGTGTCATGATTTTCACAATCATGTAATGGATGTTATTATCCAGAAATTAAAAGAGTGACAATGTATGGAAATTGGATTGAGAGTTAATTCTTGACCTTGGAAGCAGCAGTTGGCAGAAACAAACAACACAAGTTACACTCAGTAGTTGTTCTGGAGCTTTAGATCGTAACACACCATCTACGCCAGACATGGAAAATGTCCTACTGGACTTCTTGTCCCTGCTGGCTTAAAAATTGAGATTGAAAGTTCTTTCTTGACAGACCATTATCGTGCAATATGATCAAAAGCTGCAGAAAAGCTGCTGAGTGGACCTTCAATAGAAATGTTGTTTTCAAGGGGGTAAATGTCTCATCTGAGCAATTTTTGCATTTTAAATTTAACCAAAAAATCCTTTCAGATGTTACTTCAAACACTACTACTTTATTTAACCACACAGGACAACTTCCACTCTACATATATTAGGCCCTATACACATGCTGGATGATAAGTTTAATGGGAGTATTTAGTCATTTCTCACCCTTGCTCGCAGGCCCAGGATGAGCTGAGCTTTCTGACTGGGATTCAAAAGCTCTGGGACGATCTCTGTCGCCAAACTGATGAAGTCCACCAGCTTGTCATACTGCTTCACGTTGTGCTGCTGTACTATTTGCCATATGAAAGCAGACATTAGTCTCACCGGAGGGACAAGGAGATGTAATGAGGCCGGAGGAAGAGGAGAGCCTGCAAAGGATATATGAGACAAGCGTACTGGAATGAATGAATAACACACATTTTATCTACAGAGGCTGAAATAAACATTTACAAGCTAAGTTAGATTTGACCACAGCTCTTGTATTCGGAGGATTAGCTAACGTTAACTTAATAACTATTAGAAAGATATTATTTGGTAAATCGACTGTCTGCGTACACTCGAGATAACTAGACAAATAATCACACAAACCGTTGCTTTTCCACGCCATTTCTTACTTTAAAAACGTCAAAACAATGAGTTAAATACTAGTCTTGCATTCATCTTACAGAGCAGGCAACTGTATCTTCATAACTTCCGGGTACACCGGATGTTATGAAAACTGTCGTGCCGTGTGAGTGTTTCTTCAGAATAAAAGCCGCAACCTTAAAACTAAGCCATAAAAGAACATGAGATGAGAAGAGTCAAATAACGTGATAAAATTTGTCACACACAAGTGAATTTATGTGCATACTGGGAAATAACACTTTCTGCCAGTAGATGGTGCTCATTTGTCGGACCCTGGACTTTTAAAATCTAATGCAACACAATACACCAGCCCTGCATTACATTTCTCTTTGTGAAGCTTCTGGGGTATTTTTTTTAATAGACTTAATGTAGGCTAATTAAAAACCCAACTAATGCTCAGTAACTGGTGTCAGGAAAATGGTGAAAGTGTTAAACTGTTGATGCTGCATGCAACAGACTTGACAGTCATACAGTCAGAGTAGTGTTAGATTAGACGCTACATTACATGTAAATGCATACTTTATGAAACTAAGTCAGGAACATAATGTGGATATCTAATATGTGAATTATTAGTCAGAGGTTTTGTAGGACTATTCATCGTCAGGAGCCACACGTTTTGCATGTGCACTAGGCCCAGCAGGGGAGGACATTTTGATATGTCACAGTAGGAAAAGCAAAAGTCTAAATAATAAAATGAATGGTGCTCAGATTTGCATTTAGCTGCTTCAGTTTCAGGGACATTGAGCATAACTGCTCATTCACACTGTCATACCTTGCTGGAACACTTAATGGACCCTAGCCACTGTTTAGTAGCACCTGTGTGTTTGTGACTTATGCCATTAGGTAAGTACATAATGTTATAAAACATGTGGGATATAGCTAATAAATCACTGAAAATAATTCCACATATGTCATATTTTAAATTCAGCATGAAGAAGGGTCTATTCACTACTTCACCAGTGTGTATTTAGAGACATACTAGAAATAAACATTTTAAATATACAAAAGTATGTAAATACAAGTTTTGGTATTACACTTTAATGGCAAGAGCACTTCGTAAGTGAAAGCAAAAGTACCACACACAAAACACATGAAGGTACTTTGTCATGGGTGGAATTTAACTACACAGTAAAACACATATTAAAACAGTTTGTTGTTTAAAAATTAATAAAGTGGAGAACTGTTCCTGATTTTGCTTACGATCAACGGGCTCTATCGTGTGACAGGTGGTGTTACTTTCAGGAGCCCCAGGTTGTATCACATGACCACCGGTGAAGATATGAGACACAATGGTAACACACCCAGTATCTATACGCCCACTGGCAGCAGCTTGCAGCCACTCACTGTCACAGTACGTGTCGACTCAAGTAGCTGGTAGAGGAACATCAGCAGCTCCTCGTCGTCATTATGCTGCCGAGTCTTTGGTTTTGCTCACGGAAACTCCATTAGCCACACCACTGGTAGTTCAGTTGCGCGCAAACTTGGATAAAACGCGTGGATAAATACTTGGGAGGATGGGAGGAAGACCCAGAGGCGCACCTGGAACTGTCGAGGATTACACCTTTGTCAGTCCAGTTGTGAAGTATCTACTGTTCATATTTAATTTAATATTTTGGGTGAGTGTTTCTTATGTGGTTAAACGTAATGGGTCACAGAGATCTCAATCTGGTGACCTTCATTTACTTTTCTCTGTCTGCAGGTTAATCATTGCGTTTGTGTTGACAAACTAGATTAGCTCTGTGGTGGCTTAAATTAAACTATTGGTTAATAACAAAATACCAGTTAAAGGACATTTCACAGGCTATAACTGTCAGACTTACTGTGTACTTTTGTGAGATCTAGATTCTGTGTGCTGACAGACATCCACTGCTTTATCTGACTTGCCATTAACTTTGGTGTTGTACGAAAAGTGAAACCCTGTCCAGGAAATAGGAGAAGGGAAGTTAACATACAAATTTGACACAAGCACACACCTGGTGTTTGCTGCTCAGACAATGGACAGTTTTATCATTACTTTGCAAATCAGAAATGTATCATCAGAGGATTTTGAGGACAGATCCCAGGTTTTGGTTGTTCTCGTCTCAATAACAATTCAAACTCAATATCAAACACCTACACTGCAAAACAAAACTGCTATTTTAGGCCAGTTCCTAGAATGACCTACACCCAACACTTTAATTCATTCATATGCTAATGATCCCTGTACAAATCTCTGTTGACTCTGGGAAACATGGTTACTGTGTAGCAGATTTCACACCAAGTGAGATGTTATTTTTTAACCATTTCAAACCGACTTTGGTGAATACAGGAGGTGGTCACATTGATTATGTTATTAGCTATACACTGTCTGACTGTAGCATTCTGTCCCCCACAGTAAGATTTTAATAATTGTCTGACTTTAGACTTTAAAAGTATGGGATGTTTTGTTAAAAGCAACAGCGAAGCTCAGCAGTTGTTTGTAAACAAACCAAAGTTCACATCAGCAGGTTTCAGTGTCAGGTGCTCAGGGACTGTAACATAAGCAGATTTCTGACTTACAACATTTTAAAGCAGATCTGGTGTTGCACATTAAACTTGTTGGGAGTGTGAGAAGACTTTCTTGTTTCTAGTCGAGAACTATGAGAACACCCAGTAATAAATTGAGAACATATAGACATATAATCGGACAAATCATAAAGTCTTACTTTAAGTTTTTCTTTATCTGTTTCCATTTTCAGCAATGTCTTTTAAACAAAGCTGTATGAGTGAGTCAGCCTGTTTCAGCCCCGAACATGACTTCTGGCCATGTACAAACAGGATAAGGCTGTGTAAAAACTTGAAGCTCTTCAGCGTGGAATGTGTTGTTGTCATTTTTGTTGCCTCTAGCTACAATGGGCTCTGTATAGGACACACCAAATATTACCGCAAATGCATAGTTCTTTCTAGTCTAAATTGTCTTTAATTGTAGGAAATCTCATGGAATGTCAATTTTTTATTTTTTTTAATTATAATCCTAGCAATTAGCCGTCTGGTGAGTGGATGACAATTAACCTAATAACCGAATCAATTATGTTAACCACTGTAATAATCTGTTTTAGTGACCACTTAGTTTTACATAGCATAACTTTTCACAAAACTGTCACACTGCATTAGACTTGCAGACTTATACACCATAAATTATTGCTTTACAAAAATCTAGTTTTGCCCTCCCACCCCATGAAGGTGCAGTGTCTGCTGTAACTGGATCCATTTCATTCAGGATGGAAAGAGTGCTCCCTATTATTCTGTTGAGACCGGGAGAGGAGCACTGAGTGAAAGGGTCTTTATTTTTTAGGCAAAGAGGCAGATTGCTGCCAGGTCGATTTAGTCAAATGTAAGTAGGGTGAATGGCTGAATCTCCTTCTCTACATTATTTCACGAAAATGTTGTAGCAACTGATTCCGCTTCATCATTAAGTCTAAAAAAGCATGGTCTCTCCAAAAGTGCATTTTCTTTGGAAAATTGGCTTTTATTCAACCAGTACAGCCTCATCTATGACTCTAATACCTGATTAAGTGTTTTGGTGAATAATGCCACTCCCTGGACAAGCATGAACATAGAAATGGTTCTTCACTTACATTGGTGTGTGGTTTCCCCTTATTACGCCGCTTTTATAATATTTTGAAAAAATAAACCTTTTTTTCTCATGTTCTCCTCAGATAATCTCCTTGGTGATGGTGTCAATCGGCGTGTACGCCCGCATGATGAAACATGCAGGTAAATGATCCTTCATGAATAGAGCATACAGTCGTTTTTCATGTCTAGTGTGCAACAGTGGGCGTGAGACAGTGCGTTGGCCTTTTGGCTTTATGCTTTTGTCTTTTCTTTTTCTTTTTCTTCTTGTCAGAGGCAGCTCTGGCATTTCTGTCAGTGGATCCCGCCATGATGCTGATGGTCATCGGGGTACTCATGTTCATCCTCACCTTCTGTGGCTGTGTGGGCTCCCTGCGAGAAAACATCTGCCTTCTGCAGACAGTAAGTCTGGAGTTTTTCATACTGCCAGGCTTTAGTGTATTCTGTACTGATTATTTTTGTAGAACTTTGGTTTATAGACCTTCAGTATAACAGCGCAGAGAGGTAAAAGTGTCATATTCATTCTCAGTTAATATGAGCTGTCAGATCATCTCAGCAGTATTTTAGAATTATGGTAGCTTAATCAAAACAGGGTTGGTGCACATATGTACAGTATTAGCACTTTTATAAGGAATGTGTGAGCTTAAGCAGTTGTACAATAAAATCAGTCTTTAGTTGACCAGCTTTTTATAGTTTATTTATACTGTAATCCCTTACTCTTAGGTTTTCTGCATATTTTCTACAAGTATGAGAGGTAAAAAGTAACAGCTGAGTTTGCATGGAGACGCAGGATCTCATGGAATCTGTCCTAGGAAGAATTAACCCAAACCAGATCATTTTTGCAGCATTGTACATCTCTCGCTCTCTTTCCTCCTCGCAGTTCTGTATCTCTCTGACGGTGATCTTCCTGCTCCAGCTGGCTGCTGGTATCCTGGGTTTCATCTTCTCTGATAAGGTGATGAAACAATAGGATTTTATAGAGAGAGGATTTTCTCTATCAGCATAATCCATGCTATCAGCATAATCCAAATATAAATGTATTTGCTGGAACTTAAAATCTTAATTTAATGACTCTACTTGTAGTGCTTTAGTTTATTTTTTAAAATTCCTCCTGTTAATTGGTTGATTGAGCCACAGAGATTTTTAAAAAAGTAGTCAAATCTGCCACAAACACTGAATGTTAATTTCTGATGTTATACAAACATCTGATGTTTTTTACATTATTGTTTTGTTGTTTTTTAATCTAAATCCCACATAAGGTCTTAAAGCATTATAAAATATATTATTATAATATCAAATCTAGACATCTTTTGAGAGGCCAAAACATCACAGTGATATTGATGCACCTTGAGAAAGCTGCTATAATTTGCTTATAGATACTTTCTTGGGGGAGACTTTGCTTTATGTACTTTTCTGATTGTGAAGATCAGCAAAACACTGTCTTCACCTGAGCTTTGTCTGTAACTGCAGCAACATTTTGATA